TGGCTCAAGAGAGTAAATTATAGTCGAGTTGCTTTTTCCAAAGATCTGCTCTTTACTTTTCCTTCCCTGAGGTAAAAAGCATGTCATGTTGGGTAATTACAGCATGTAAAAAGTAGAGATGTTGACTGTGTTTTATCTCTCCCCCATGGCCCATTTTATTTCCGCCCTCCAGAAAATGCTTGAGCCTTGGAGAGGAAGGAGCCCATGGTTGCAGGCTGCCCATTTTAACCATTGCCCTCAAAAGCCATTTCATGCTGAGACCGTGGCTGTTGGGGTCTCTGGTGTATGGAAGACAGTACTATTTGTCATAGCCATTTTCTGGTCACCACCATTTTTAATTAAAGTTGTCCTATAAATAGGTTATATTCATTTCCTCTGGATCTCACAAGTCAGTAGACTAGGAATGATTAGCTTAGGTCAGGACATCTAGCCAGATGAGATAAATAAAAAAGTGAGTACTTGAAATAGAGCTTCAGGGATTCAGGACTACTGCTTGTTAAGATAAATGCATTTCCCTTCCAGAGAAGGTGGAATTTATTTTAAATAAACACCTAGAAGGTATTTTTCTCCTGTGGTGGTGGATCCGTTTCATTTTTTAATAAGTAGAGAGAGCTAATCATTCCTTGAAATTTACAGTCCAGTGAAAGGAAAAGACAGATATAGAAGACATTTTTCATAGAGCCCGAGTCTTGAGAGTGCCCTTGGGTTACCAAGGACACACGGATACCATCACTTGCTCTTGACACGCATGGTCTTTGAAATCCCATTACTTCTTTGGACTTTGAAAATTGCATTTCTAGGGGAAACCCAGCTCATAAGCCCCCAGTAAGAGAAGTTTTAGATGAAAAAGGTGATCTCTTCGGCTCTTTGAGAGCAACAAGAAGGTGGGAGGGAAAGTAAAATTAAATCAAGTGAAGGAGGAATTGCCCTTGAAAACTCATGTTGACGGTTTTATTTGACTTCAGCAAGTTAGAAAGTGAAGACATCGGTTTCATTCTTTTCAGGAAAAACACCTTTCACTTCTCCCACAGTTTAGTTACAAAGTGATGTTTCTAAGATCTAAAGTTGCCACGGATTTTTTTCAAGCACATCTTTATGTTCTGCAGCTGCTGGAGTTAACGGCAGCCAGCATTCTTGGGCATTTGGATCATGACAGGTGTAGAGACTTCATCTCACCCCAGGTCTGGGCGTCACTCCTGGCTGCCCCAAGTACCTTGTGCTTCTCCCCCCATGACGCTGTCACAGTACATTGTGATGTCGTCTTCCTGTCTGGATCCCACTCGACTGTGTCATGGCAGGATTGTGTCTGTCTTGTTCACTCTTCCGTCTCCCCCGTAGACTTGGCAAGTGTGTGGTGCTCACGAAATATTTGTGGAGGGGACAGATGGATATCCAAAAGTATAATTGTTTCTTTTGATGCCAGAGACACCATTATTTCCAGAAATCCTACTTTTATTTAGGGCTTATTCAGTTCCCTGTCTGTCCACTAAAAACCTAAATTCTGTTCTCTGTCCCCATGTAGCTATGAGATGTGGGGCAAGTCTCTTAGCAACTTTGTGCCCAAGTTTCTTCATTAGTTAAAAATGGTGGCAAGTTAGTGTCTATTTATATTTAAGTTATTTATATATTTTTATTTATTTATAAATATAAATTAATATTCTTTCCAGCTCTAATATTCTTTTATTTCCTCTGCTGAAAATCTCATCCATTGTATTTTTTTTTTAAAAGATTTTATTTATTTATTTGACAGAGAGAGACAGAGCAGGAACACAAGCAGGGGGGGTGGGAGAGGGAGAAGCAGGCCTCCCGCCAAGCAGGGAGCCTGATGTGGGACTCGATCCCAGGACCCTGGGATCATGACCCGAGCCGAAGGCAGACGCCTGACGACTGAGCCACCCAGGCGCCCATCCATTGTATTTTTAATAATCGGGTGGGTTTTTTAAGTTTTGATCTTACCATGACTATGTTAGTACATTTTAAAAGTACCATGTGGCTTAGAAAATTTGATCCTTTTAAGACAAAGGTGGCATTAGAGTCAAACAGTAACACGAGTTGAATGGTAACACAGGAAACCTGAGATTTTTAGGAGCTGATCACCCAGGTTTGGATTAGCCAGGGTACTCTTTTTCTGGTTGCCTCTAGGATATTAGGTGTTTATTGACCTCTATTTCAGAAGATGGTTAAGAAAAGTTAAAAGGAAAAACACCTGGGTTAGTTAATTATTTCTCATTTAAAGCTAAGTGAAGGTGTGCCTGGGTGGCTCAGTCGTTAAGCATGTGCCTTTGGCTCGGGTCATGATCTCAGGGTCCTGGGATCGGGCCCCGCATCAGGCTCCCTGCTCGGCAGGAACCCTGCTTCTCCCTCTCCCACTCCCCCTGCTTGTGTTCCCTCTCTCTCTGTCAAATAAATAAATAAAATCTTTAAAAAAATAAATAATGCTAAGTAAAGAGCTTTTGTAAGAAAGGAACTTGAGACTCTTGGCCACTTGGACAGGGCCATGACACCTGATATGGTCGCAGGAACAACTCTAGGACATCTGAGCTCAAGAGCAGCTGTACTTAACCTTTTTTTTTTTTTTTTGTACTTAACTTTTTAAAAACACTGCTCTTGGGCGCCTGGGTGGCTCAGTCGGTTAAGCGACTGCCTTCGGCTCAGGTCATGATCCCAGAGTCCCAGGATCGAGTCCCACATCGGGCTCCCTGCTCAGCGGGGAGTCTGCTTCTCCCTCTGACTCTACCCCCTCTTGTGCTCTCTTTCTCTCTCTCTCAAATAAATAAATAAAATCTTAAAAAAAAAAATAAAACAGTGCTCTCGTTGGATTACATATATTTGTTAGTTCACTCATCTTTGAGCTCCTGAAATAGAGGTATTTTGTTTTCTTCATCTCCATGTTTTTGGTATCTGTCTCCCAGTGATAGAGGTAGTAATGCTAGCACTAACTAGTGATCATATAAGACTATGGCTAACGTGATGAAGTGCTATGTGCAAAGCCTTGTTCTACGTGCTTCACGTATTTTGATCATTTAATACTCACAACAACCCTGTGAGATAAGTCCTACTGTTATCCTATTTTACAACGGGCATGTAGAGAAGTAAGGTCACATAGATAGTAAATGGTGGGACTGGGATTCCAATCCATGTAGTCACACACTGGCAGCCCAGTACTTAATCACTATGCTGTACTTTTTATAAGCATCGCAGTAAACATGTCCTGAGTGAATGAATAAATGAGTAAGTATGCAGTGGTATTTGGTAGGTATTAATATGAGTGGAGTCTTATAAATTTGTGTTCTGCCTATTTCTAAACACAGACAAATTTGTCGGTCCTTCAGTGGATATTTCCATAAAGTTTTTCTTCTCTTTAATAGATTGAAAGATGATTTTGTGATTTTCATTCATCTTTAATTTTTCTAAGTTAGACAATTTGTTGTTTGGTGATCAAAAACATATACTTTTTTTAAAAATACATATGCTTTTTAGAAACATGAATCTCCATTTTTGCTGGACTGTGGATTTGTAATTCAAATAAGTGAAATTTGCCAAATTCAAACCATACCTTGTTTCCTAAATGGTACTTAAATGTGTGGATTCAAAGAGACGGCTGTAGGTGTGCCTGGGAGGCTCAGTCGGTTAGGTGTCCAACTCTTGGTTTCAGCTCAGGGCATGATCTCAGGGTTGTAGGATCGAGCCCTGCATCAGGCTCTGCACTCAGTGCGGAGTCTGCTTGAAAATTTTCTCCCTCTGCGCCTCCCCCACTCACGCTTGCGTGTGTGTGCACTTTCTCGCTCTCTCTCAAATAAATAAACAAATCTTCATAGAGAGGGCAGTGGTCATTCCACTTTGCCTTTCTGGTGTCTTTACCTTTCTAGGTCAAATCAAATGAAGCTTCCTTGGCTTATTGCACAACACTCAGTGCATTTTTATTCATAAGCCAAAGGTGTCACGTCTGACAAAATCGATGCTGTACATTCCCTTTGTGTGTGTCTGGTTGAATGCTTAGTAGTAGTAAATGCAATAACATTATGGAAAATGCCTGCGCTCAGTGCATATTAAAGGAAAAGTTGCTATGTGCTTTATGCCCAATCATTTCCTTTTACCTGACCTTCCCAGCAGTACCAGGAAACTATGAAATTGTTTACTTGTGAGTAATTGTTAGAACCTGGGTAGCTTCGATTCATTGAGTAGGTTTTACCTTCTATATTGTGAAAGTGTAACCTTATGAAAAATGTACCTAAAAGCTAGTTCAGAATTACTAGTGTGCTAAAGCCAATCTTTAGAAGAAGAGCAGGACTATTAGGAAATGACCTTTTGAAGATGTGGCAGTTGATCTGGGTCTTGCCACAATAGTAGGAGTTGGAGGTCCGCCTTTGGAGAGACGTATATTCCTGTTGGAGGGTATGGCTCTGAGATGGAAAACACAGGTTGAATAAAAGAAGGAGCAAAAGGTTGGGTGGGCTCTGGAAGTATTATTTGTCAAGGCCAATCCCTCCTGTAATCGACATCGGTCTCCTTCTCCTTTCCTAAAAAACCTCCCCAAATAAACCATGCGGTGTGTGTAAAGAGAGTGTTAGCTATGCCAAGTGCAGCTGTAACACAGATGTCCCAGGCCTCCCTGGCTCCCAGTCTAATTGTCACCTCTGAAGATACTCCTCTATGGATGTGTCTTATCACTCATTTTCACACAGAGAGTTACTGGGGTGGAGGGCATCCCATTCAAACAACCATTTGAGGCTTTTTCCAATTGTAGGGCAAATCCTTCCAGATGTCCCTTCTAAGTAAACATCTGCTTATTTGCCCTAGAGGAACTAAATATGAGTGGATATGAACTGTAGGAATTTGTGCCATTAGCACTGACTTTAATTCAAAGTATGTAGTGTTTGATCTTGGTGCCTATTGCATGGTAGATGCTCAGGAAATTGGTTTTTACTTTTCCTATTCTATTGTTCAGTTTATTGTTGTTTTTAACTTTCTCATTTATTTTCCTTTGTTCTCTTTTAAAGGAGAGATTTAAGGAGGCTGAGGAGATATACCAGGCTGGAATAAAGAACTGTCCAGACAGCTCAGACTTACACAACAACTATGGGGTTTTCTTAGTTGATACTGGTGAGTGAAATTGAAGAGAACCTGTTCTGTTGAGATGAGATAATTCTATCCACCAAGTAAAATGGCAGCCACCCAAATGATGTCTCAGAAAGTAACATTCACCGGGCTTGGCAGGAAACACACCATTGACCATCCCATTGTACAGTGGGGCTGTCATTTCTCTAAGTCTTCAAGCTCAGCTCAGTAAAATCCATCCAGTTCGTATAGCGCTAAGGAAAACTCTCCAGATATCAGGATACTTGCTGATTTAACAAGTAGCAGGCCTTTTGAGTATCATTTAGACAAGTCCATAAATCTATGATGATGAAATGGTCCTCGGCCATGATGCAGGGCTTGCCTCTGAATCTAGTTACCAGCAGATGGAAAATATTTCTTTATGTCTGATTAAAAAAAAGCCTCCAGAATTGTGCCATCATTCTTTACTTGATGTACATTACAGACACTATATTATTAAAATTGATAGAGTACTCTTATATGACAGGTGCTAAATAAAATATACTTACTCCATCTTATTTAATGCAAAACATTACTGGGCAGGGATTCTTTTTTCTTTATGATTTGTGTCCTATCTACTGTTGGCATTCTATGAATACTTATAAAGAATCAAAAGGTAGTTGAATTTAATGCAAAAGCACCATTCTGTTCTCGTTGACTTATAGACTGTCTGCCTTGTGATAAAATTCTGTTTTAATTATTTTGTCAATATGAATGCTCAAAGGGGTTTTTATTTTCTAGCATATCTGAAACTTTTCTGTTTTATAGAATGTAAATTTACATTCCGAAACTCCTAAGAAACGCCCCTTATTTTTGCATGTAAAATTGTTTTATAGTGCCACCTACTGGTTTATTAGCAACACACTAATACATGAGGTGCCATAAAAGATCTAAAAACTGGAAGAGACCCCCTGTTGGTCTAGTCTTCCCTCTTCCTTCTACTTCAACAACAAACAATGCTACTCCCCTAAAAATCTCACTGGCCACCCTGTATATCTTCCCACCACTCCCTTTGTATTCATGTATTTTATACTGGTGGAAATTCTCCCTATTACCAGTGACCTGTACATAGATCTATACAGACATAAAATCTATTTTGGTGCAGACATGCATTCAAAGAAGGTGCACTTGAGGAGGTGTCTGCAGGTCATAAACATTCCATTTCATCTCGAACTTCAGACTGTTCTACAGTTCAGTCACTTAGATGTAATTTCACTAGGAAGCTTCTTCGGGGATCTCATCAGAGGCTTGATTCTAGTTCTGGTCTTTGTCCTCAGTTGCCCTGGGATTTTTGTCAGGTCTCTTAAGTGCACTTTGCACTTTAGTGCCTATAGCTCTAAAGTAATACTTTTATTTATTTTTTAATAGCTCTTAAATCCCAAGACACAGCTAAAGAGTATCAAAGGGCAGCTAAATAGGGGCACCTGGGTGGCCCAGGCAGTTAAGAAGCTGACTCTTGATTTCGGCTCAGGTCATGATCTCAGGGTCTTGAGATTGAGCCCCACATTGGGCTCCATGCTCAGTGCAGAGTCTGCTTCTCCCTCTCCCTCTGCTCTTCCCCTCTTCCCACAAGCTCTCTCTCTCTCTCTCTCATAAATAAATAAATAAATAAATAAAATCTTTTTAAAAAGGCAGCTAAATAGTATCAAAAAGATCATTTAATTAAAATATCTTAAGATGTATAATGCATTGGACAAATGCAAGGTGGCATTATTATTATTTTTTTAAAGTTCCATTACATAGGGCACCTGGGTGGCTCAGTTGGTTAAGCGACTGCCTTCGGCTCAGGTCATGATCCTGGAGTCCTGGGATCGAGTTCCGCATCGGGCTCCCTGCTCAGCAGGGAGTCTGCTTCTCCCTCTGACCCTCCCCCCTTTCATGTGCTCTCTCTCTCTCTCATTCTCTCTCTCAAATAAATAAATAAAATCTTAGGAAAAAAAGTACATAAAGTTCCATTACATAAATACTATTTAACAAAAATGTATGATTTTAAAAAAAGATTTTCAAGATCTAGCTGATACATGCTTCTTTAAAGCAGCGCCTCAGTTACTATGTTGCAGTAGAGTAATTGAGAGCAACCCTTAGAAATTGTTTCAGGACAGTTTTCTTTCTATAATAGCCTATTCTATATTTTCGTATAATGAAAAGTAACAGTATCTTGTATAAATAATAATCACTGATGATCTCAAAACATAATATTAGCTAGGGCAATTGCCAGAAAACACTTTGGCTAAAATCCTATACATAATAAAAGAAATAGATTTTAGTTTTTATTGCTTTTTTATTATTAATTTCCTTGGAAGTGGGACCGAATAGTAAAATGGTCCAAAGTTATGCAGTGGCGAGGAGATGAAGCCAAAATGCAAGCTCATTTACAAACTGAATAATTGATTGTATGATTCAGCGATATGAAGAAGAATGATATACATCAGAAGAGAAATTGAAGAGCCTCGTATATTGTATAATTAAAGCATGCTCTGCTCTCACCAACCATCCCTGGTTACAGGCTCTCCAGAGAAGGCAGTGGCCCATTACCAACAGGCCATCACACTCAGCCCAAGTCATCACGTGGCCATGGTGAATCTGGGGAGGCTCTACAGGTCCTTGGGAGACAACAGTGTGGCTGAAGAATGGTACAAACGGTAAAGCTCCTTTTCCCCACTTTGTAAGTTGCCCAAAGACCTTAATAGTCGCCCTTCCAATTTTTATGTAATCGGAACAGACATGCTCTTAGAATATTAACCAGTTTTGCCAATTCAGGTAATACAGGTTCTCCCCTCCAAAGAATAATACCAAACACTAAATGGTATCCTAAGGAATGGCTTAAAAAAGGCCTGCTGGTTAGAACATGGTGCTAAGCCAAGGTTGGAATTGTTTTCTGAGGCTGTGGACTGCAGCCCAAACCGCAAATAGCAGTTTTGAAAATGGATACGGGGGACAGACTGTGCCTGCATGGGAACCAGCCTGTCACCATCAATGGAAAAGATCCTTGGAGCTCAGTTTCCATATTGATAGGTCACTGGAGACATTCTTGTAGTCAGAGGGTGGCATCGGGATCTTTTTAAAAACGTTCTTCTTGATTATAAAAACAGAGACCGTGTTGGAGCAGTCTCAAACCATGGACTGTCCTCTCTAAACCTGCGTTTCAAGCTTTCGAAATGTACCTATGAGAATTTCAGTTCACCTTTCTCAAAACTCAGGGCCCTGCAGGTGGCACGCAAAGCTGAGCTATTATCACCTCTGGGAGCGCTGTATTATAACACGGGCCGCTATGACGAGGCCCTGCAGGTTTACCGAGAAGCTGCGGCACTTCAGCCTTCTCAAAGGGAGCTCCGCCTGGCCCTGGTGAGTGCGTTGGCTAAGGAAAATGAGGCAGGACACGCAGTGTGTAGTGCAGGGAGCTGGGTCAGAAGCCTCAGAATTGCAACTAGAGCACTACGATAGATCCATTTTCTGAATATCCATATAACCAGTGTGGGAGCCATTCACCAAAGACATAGACACCAAAAAACTTTTAAGTTTGTGGTTTGGGAAATCATTTCAAACTTACAAAAATTTGCAGGAATACTAAATAGCTCCCATATCCCCTTTCACCCAGATCCATCCATTTTTAGCACTTTGATGAATTTGTTTATCATGCACGTATGTGTGTACGCATCCACATATGTACATATGTGCATATTTATGTATGTGTGCAAATGCATATTATTAATACATTTATTTTTTCATAAGCCATGTAAAAGTTAGAGATCTCATGCCCTTTATTTCATTTTTTTAAAAGATTTTATTTATTTATTTGACAGAGAGAGAGAGCACAAGCAGGGGGAGAAGCACCTTCCCACTGAGCAGGGAGCCCAATACGAGGCTCGATCCCAGGACCCCGGGATTATGACCTGAGTGAAAGGCAGACGCTTAACCAACTGAGCCACCCAGGCGCCCCGCCCTTCATTTCTAAATACTTCAGCATACAAGGACATTCTCTAACATAACTATAGTATGGTTCTCATATTTAAGAAATTAATAATCAGCAATATTTTTAATTTCAATTTTTGGAAATTTGCATTTTTGCTACTCTTCTTTAGATCTGCAATAAATCGAATTTGTTATCTTGTTATAAACACAGCATCCTGTTGAAACCATAAGAAATCATTTCTTTCCCACCCACAGCCAGTGATGCTTATTAAGGAGGGCACGTATTGCATGGAGCACTGGGTGTTATACGCAAACAATGAATCATGGAACATTACATCAAAAACTAATGATGTGCTGTGTGGTGACTAACGTAACATAATAAAGTAAAATTAAAAAAAAATCATTTCTTTTTGAAATATTTAGTCAACTTTTTAAAAAAGTCACAAGTCATTTCGTTGATATCTTTGGTGTCCCTGGTATTCACACACAATGCAGGCACATACCTAAAGAAATAAACAGAAACAAACAAGAAAAATTTAAACCTGTAAACTCTGGGAATTCTGCTCCCTCTGAGTTGCAAATAGACGCTAAGCATTTTTTTCTGGAGTGTTTCTGGAAAGCCTCTATTCAGAGATGCTTTATATGATGAGGTGATAACAGTGTCTCCTAAGCCAATTCAGTGTGGTTTTGCAGGCTCAGGTTTTGGCCGTGATGGGTCAGACAAAAGAAGCTGAGAGGATGACCAACCACATCGTGTCAGAAGAGACCGGATGCCTTGAATGCTACCGCCTGTTGTCAGCAATCTACAGCAAGCAGGAGCACCACGACAAGGTAGAGAGCACGCTGGAGTTGTTTGGATTCACAGGTGGAAAACGGGGTGCGCCTGAATGATTCTCCAGTGTGTGCATTTATGAGGCTGAGCAAGCTTGAATATCGTCCATTGGCATAGCCTGTCTTACAGATGCTTTTCACAGATATCTCCTTAACTCTGATATGTCCCCTTGAAATAATACTTTCTTGGCTCATCCTTTGTCTGAAGATTTTATGTGACAGCATCTCAATTTGTTTTTACCTAACTGGATAAAGACTAACATTTGTATGCTTCACCATTTTCCATGTTCCTTCAAATACATTATTTATAGAATCCTTATAACAGTCTTTTTCAGGTCAGTGATCCTGTTTTGCAACTATTATTGTTTATGTCCATTTGAAAAGTCATATAACCAGTAAATCTATGAACTGACTCAACAAAATACTTATTGAATGCCTGCTATATGCCAGGCACTGTGGTAGGTACCAGGAATAAAGTGGTATTAGAAAAACAAAAAAATTACCTTTGTCCTCAAGGAGTTTATAGAAGAAGAGGAAACCAAGATTAAATAAGGAATCACAAAACAAGTGTAGAATTAATAGCTGTGCTCAGTGATGTCATTAAGAGTGACATGGTCCTAACAAGTATATAATCAAAGACCTGAGTGATCTGGGAGGTTAGATTCCCTGCGGAGTGATATGAAGGTGAATGCTGAGTGATAAATAGGAGTGATTAGATGAAGGGGGGCAGTGAAAAGCATTCCAGGCAGGATAAAGTACATGCAAAGGCCCTGTGGCAGCAGCAAGTAGCAAGTCTGAGGGATGGGCATGACGGGAGCATGGCACTGTGTAAGGTAATGGCCACAGAGGTTGCAGGAGACAACATGCCACAGGGCTTGGGACCAGGGGAAAGGTTTTGTTTGTTATCCTTGGGGGACCTTTGGGGTTTTAAGGAGAAGAGCAACATGGTGAGATTTGTGCTGTGAAGGGAGCTCTGGCTGCAGGGGTTGGGGCAGTGGGTGCTGGGGGCAGGGTGGGCACCAGGGACCTAAGGGGAGGCTGTGTTTGGAGTGGTCCAGATGGACACAGGCAGGGCGAAACACCTGACCCCAGATCTTGTTTTCTTTCATCTTTATCACTGACCTCCCTGTGGACTGGTCAGCGACATGTCATTGTCACAATATAAATGGAAACCCTGAAGTATAGGAAAATTATTTTGTGAGGGCCACATTATTTCCCAATGAGAACATCAGAGAGAATGGAGAATGTGTTTTGATTGTCATTTCCACACCAGCTAATACATAAGAACAAAAGGTATAGATTTTATCATTTAATGTTAGTTTTTCTTCATCTCATCTACATTCATTCTTTCAAACCTGTTGCAGGCACTCGATGCTATAGACAAGGCTCTCCAGCTGAAACCAAAGGACCCAAAAGTCATATCTGAACTTTTTTTCACAAAAGGAAACCAACTAAGAGAGCAGAATCTTCTGGATAAAGCTTTTGAGGTATAAACACTTAATTATGTTATTAAATGAAGGGACTAAAATTAGTACTCTCAGTCTTTACTGAAGCATATACAGTAAAAATTAAGATCACTGGCATATTTGTGGAGTGAACTTTCTGATTAAGGGCCATGATGTTATACATTTAGTTTTTATAATTGACTATTTTTTAACTATTCGGAGTTCTGCAGTACCTCTGCATTATTTTCTGAATTATTACCTTTAACTTGATGTTTGAAGCAATTCCACATTATTCCCTCAAACTAGTTTCTATTCTCTGCCTCCCTCACTCTTTCTGTTGGCCGGCAGTAACCGTCTAGTCCATCTGGACTAGTGTCTGAATAGCTTGGGTATTTCCACACCTCCTTATAACACCCTTCCACCCACCCCCCAATTCTTCACAGATTCCCTCTCGTCTATGAACATATAGCCTTTGTTCTCCTCCCTCTGGAAGCCCATCTGGACCATGCTTTCTCCTAGCGCCCTTGTTTCCTGTGGACTTTGACAACATTTACTGTCTCTACAAGTCATTTGAAAGTATCATATACTGCGTTGTATTGTGAGGCCTCTTTTGTCTCTCCTCCTCTTCCCCTCCCACCTCCCACCTCCCACCCCCACTCCTCCGTGCCCAGCGCCTGCTGCCCAGTTAGATTGGACTTCTCCTTGTAAAAAGAGACGGCTTCCTTCCATGTTCTAGAACATAAGGCCTTGCATCTTAGAGGCATTCAATATCTACAGCTCTCAAATAAAATTTATACACAGTTTGAAATCAAAAAGATATTCCAAGCAAATAGAATGTTCTAGAAATACCACTGTGGTAAAGCCACAAGGTGGAATTAATGAAATCATAAAATTACACTAAATATAACATTCTGAGGAGAGTAAAATTTTAAAAGATATTATTGTTTTTGAAAACAGTGAGTGACTTTTTAAAATATTCAAAAACATAGGTAAAGATATTTGAGAAAACTAACTTGAACATGAACTCTTAAAATAAACAGTGGCATATGTGAAGCAGAAATTTTGTATTTTTCTCTGCCCTGTGAACATTTTTTTAAAAGATTTATTTATGTGTTTTTGAGAGAGAGAGGGCTCAAGCAGGCTGAGGGGCAGAGAGAGAGGGAGAAGTGGACTCCCGCTGAGCACAGAGGCTCCATCTCAAGACCCTGAGATCATGACCTGAGCTGAAATCAGGAGTCAAAGGACACCTAACCGATGGAGGCCCCCAGGCCCCCTTGCACTGTGAACATTTTTTAATACCTAACGTGACAATTTAATGAATGTATAATTTAATTTTGAACTTATTTGGTATCTGTATCTGTATCTTATACGTTGTATTGAAAACAAAAGTATTTTCTAGTTGCTTTAACTATAGATCAAATAATCATTTTAAAGTGACGTTTGGGGTGCCTGGGTGGTTCAGTCAGTTAAGTGTCTGACTCTTGATCTCAGCTCAGGTCTTGATCTCAGGGTTGTGAGTTCAAGCTCCACATTGGGCTCCACACTGGGTGTAGAGTCTATTAAAATCAATCAACCAATCAATTAATAAAGTGGCTAGATCTATGATGGATAGAAGTAGGGCTGTGAGCTAATAATAGCAGCTACAATGTGTTAGCATTTTTATTTATGATTTACACATATTAAGTAATTTAATCTTCTCAGTAGTCATATAAGAAAGCTATGATCATTGTCTTCATTTTACAGTTGAATAAGCTGAGACTCAGAGGTTATGTAACTTGCTCAAGGTCACAGTGGGTAAGAGATGGAGCTGGGATTTGAATCCAAGTTCTTAATTTCTACCCTACACTCTCATCTCTGTTGATATAAATTAACCCAAGAGACACATTCTTCAGGTTTATTTTAGCAGCTCTTTAAAGGTATAGTTTCTTATTGTTTGCTTGTTTCTCTTAAACAGAAGTGGAGGAGGGATGGACCAGATTCTATTTACTTTATGAATCTGTTCATCAATGCAAATAGCAAAGGGCATTAAATGACACACAAATACTTAGCTTTATGATTGAAAGCAACATTCTTAGCCATTAGCTTTATTTAAGGTGACCACTCGTAAATTAAGACCCAATGGTGAGCATGCCAGTGGTGATATAAAACAACATGCAAAATATTATAAATATGCCTCACAGATATTACATTTAATGGGATACACATTTCCAGACCAAAACAGGTATTTGAGAGTAAGTAACTCTCTTCAGACATTTGAAGACCTTGTGGCAGAAGATAAAGGAAGACTTTTTAATGATTGAAACTAAACCTAGGAAAATGGATGTCCTCAAGGAAGGAATGAGCATCCTGTCACTGCAAGGATTTCAGCATAAGCCGAATAACCAGGCCAATGATATTGTGAAAGGGGATATTACACTGGGACTGAGCTGTATAGGAAAAGACTCTAAGATTCTATGATTACTAAAAAAAAATATTCTTACAAACTCCATTTATAGCGAAAAAGGCCAAAGGAGTTTTCTTGCAGGTCAAGGCCAGTGAGAAATGATGCACTATAATAAAATCACCTGGATTCCCTATGGGCATCCTCAGTCTCTGTGAGCAAATTACACATTTCAGTTTCCTCCACTTCGAATCATCAGTTCTCAAAAATAATTGAAATAAATGGGAACACCTGTGAGCTGGTAGTGTCGGGTTTCATTGTGTTAACCATTTATAGTCTCACGTATGAAGAAAGTGGTTTCCACAATCCTGTAGCATTAAACGTTGGTTCTCCTTTCTCAACCTGAAGATGTTTCTTGTGTCTTTAGAGCTATAAAGCCGCCGTGGAGTTAAATCCAGATCAAGCACAGGCCTGGATGAACATGGGTGGAATCCAACACATCAAGGTAGGAGAATAATTCACTTCCATGAAGACTTTGCATTTTCTCTTTCTGTCTTCTTTCAAAAGATTGAAAACATATTGTTAATTCCCTCTTTGAATTATTTAAATACCAAAAGCCATAGGTGTTTAAAAGTGAAATTAGCACAGTTTATATTCACTTTGTATTATCTAGATATTGGATATCATGAAGTCATTTGAAAACCACATCTATACAAATTAAATTCCATGATTTTATTAAACATAAAGAAAACCATAGGTACTTAAGAGAAGAATCATTGTACAGCAAATAAAATCTGCTTATGTGAACTAAGCCTTGTTGGGGCTTCCTGTAGCTCATTGTCCTACAGCTTAACTCATGGTCAAGACTACAGTGTTACTTTAAATATTACTTTATTATTTCTTGTATCTAATGTATCTTTTACTCCCTGATCATTTATTGAAACACAAGGTTGTTTGTGGGTTTATTTTTTGTTTTTCCAAAAGAAAAAGCTACCTTTGAGCAAATTATTAAAAATGACCATTGGGAAGGCTGCTGTCTATAAGTAATGAACTCAAAGACTATCATTCTTTCATCTATCATTCATTTATTCATTCATCCATTCATTTTACAAACATTCATACAGAGCATGTTAAGTGCCAGGTACTCCTTCTTCAGGCACTGTGAATAGAACACTAAACAAGTAAGACAGAACGTCCTGTCTTCATGGAGCTAACATTTAGTAAGGGAGATCGGCAATAAATAAATAAACACATACATGTATACATGTATACATAAAATATATCATGGTGCTATGGAGAAAAAAGAGAGAGAAAGAAGATAGGAAGTGCCATGGGGTAAGAACTGAAATTTAAAATTAAGATAGTTAAGAAAGGCCTCACTTTAAAAAAGTGATTTTGAGTAGAGACCTGAAGGGAACAAGCCATGTGGCAAAATAGGGAAAGAGCATGTGCAAAGGTCCCTCAGAGAGGGAGCAAGTGAGATGAAATGGTAGAAGCTGGGATTAAAGAAGTCACGGGGCCAGATCATGCAGAGCCTTGAAGGAGAGTGTAGGGTCTTTGGCTTTTATGCAATGCCAAATGAGTTGGGGTCCTTGGAGGACTTTGAGCAGAGAGATGCCATGGTCTGACATGTCTTTAAAGGATCACTCTTATTATGCTAACCTATTTTCTATCAGTCTTTATATTGACAAAACAGTAATATAGTGATTAGCATTTAAACAAAAGCCTAATGGGGTTTACTATTAAGTGGAAACTGGTCACTCTCAGAAACACAACAAAACAAAAGGTGACTTGTGATTATATAGCCAGAAGGGGATAATGGGTGAGTTATTATGTGACTGACAGCCTTGATCTAATAGAAGAACAAACATGACATTTATCAGAGCAGAATAATAACCTGAGCTCTGACCTTAATGATCTTCTAGGGTGTCCAGCAATATGAACTTACTTTTAAAATAGTAACATAATTTTGAATATTTAAATAGTATGTTAAATAGTTATGTTTTATAAAATAATATGCTCAATATGTTTTTAGATGACGTGTGCCTGCCGTTTAAAGCAATGGGTTCGGTTGTTAATTTAAAAAGTACAGTAAATAGGGGTCCCTGGGTGGTGAAGTTGGTTAAGTGGCTGACTCTTGGTTTCATCTCAGGTCATGATCTCAGGGTTGAGATCAAGCCCTGTGTTGGGCTCAGCACTCAGTGCAGAGTCTGCTTGGGATTCTTTCTCCTTCTCCCTCTGCCCCTCCCACTCATGCTCTCCCTCTCTCAAATAAATAAATCTAAAAAAAAAAGTACAATAAGTACACTCAACACTTTTCCAAAAGCTCTTGAAATACAAGGAAAATAGTACATTTATTGAACTCTCAGATTAACAAGTGAATCCATTGTTTTAAATTTAGAGGTACTTCCCCTGAAAAGGTGTCTGGAGATTGAAGAAGGATCTATTGAGTGTATTCTTTTAAAATGTAATGAACACACTGATTAAAAATTAGTTTGTGCAGTTTTTCATCTTTGCAAACATCATGTATTACGCTGAAGAGTTGAACAGTGAAATTGCCATGTTTGTAGTTGAAAAATCATCTAATATCAGTAAATTCATATGATACAATCCAATATAAATATATAGACCGGGCACCTGGCTTGGATGTGGTCATTTAAATGGCACCATTAGGATGCAAGATTATTACTGTGAGGTCCTAAAGAGCAGTCATTAACTTTCTGTCTTCGCATTGCCAGGTAGTGTGTGCACCAGGCAGTATTAGCCCTTTCCAGGCTTCACTCCTTCCCCGAGCCCAGGTGAAGCTTAGGATACTGAGGGCTGTGGTACGGTTGCAAGTTGGAATAAGGCTTTGCCAGGACATGGCATGAAGAGATGAGAACAGAGTTGTCTCTTGCTTGTACTGTTTGGTAATAAAAGATAATTATTATGAAGCTTCATAAAGGCTGAAATGGATGGACCAAAAAAGCTAACATACATTCTTTATAATCGAAGAGTTGTATCAACTGGGCCACACCACAAAGTCCTATTTTCAGTACTGCCCTACGTGCATTTTCCAGAATGGCGTCATGCAGTGGAACTCTTTATGGTGGCAGGAGTAGTTCTGTGTCTGTACCATGCAAGGCAATAGCCACTAGCCCATGTGGCTGTTGAGCCCTTGAACCGTGGTTGGTACAACTGAGCAACTGAATTCTTAATTTATCGTAATTGATTTCAATTTAAATGGAATTAGTGGCTATCATAGTAGATAGCACATTTCTGGAAATTAAAATATCAGATTCCCCTATCTTAGCATCTCAGAACTGGGGACATTGAATCAAGGGCTATAACTTAAAAAAAAAAAATAAGGCTTTCAGTTTAATCAAGTAAAGAGCGATTTGAGGGAGAGAAAATAACTGTAGCTGTGGATTTTACATGAAAGGACAAAGAAAGCTGGTAATCAAAGAAGGAAATGCCAAGGCACCAGGCTGAGGACTAAATTCAGAAAAAACTCTTAGCAGAACAATTTCAAAGTCGGCTGTAATACAAACATATTTGTAGAGCACTCTAAGGGTCACAAATGTTCAGTTGTCTGCACGTGTGTGCAAACATTTGGAAGACAAATGCTGGAGTTGAAAAAAAAATAATAACAATTGAATGAAGCAAATCCAGGTTCTCACTTGTTCAGAATTTTATTTAGCCTCTTATGAGAATCAGGGTTCATAATCAGAAATGTTTTCATTTGTGCATGTGCCAGAGCCTGGATCCCGATGTCATTTCCCCTCTCCTTTTTTTTTTCAAGATTTTATTTATTTATTTGAGAGAGAGAATGAGAGAGAGAGAGCACATAAGAGGGGGGAGGGTCAGAGGGAGAAGCAGACTCCCTGCTGAGCAGGGAGCCCGATGCGGGACTCGATCCTGGGACTCCAGGATCATGACCTGAGCCAAAGGCAGTCGCTTAACCAACTGAGCCACCCAGGCGCCCCCCCTCTCCCTTTTACCAATATGACAAGTAAGTATAGTAATAAATGGACAGTGTTTACTCAAGCCTGGATGATCATTTAATAATGACAACAATGGGAGATTGAGGGCTCACTATGCATCAGGCAGTGTCTGAGCTCCTAACGTGCATTAACTCCTTTGGAGGATAGTTAAGCATTTAGTGAGTATCAGTTGCTAGTTGCTACATAGAACTCTCACTTAGAGATGCTATTTTAAATTGTGATGGGAATTCAGAGAGTAACTGGTTTTTGTCCACATGGAGCTGTAATTGAGAATAAAATAAAGCAAATGGAAATTTGGGGGAATGGAGAGAACTCCAACACTCAGAGTTCTGAGACGTGGCAGGACACAGATCTGAAAGAGGGTGGGCCAAATAAGGAAGGTAAAATTTAGTAGCAGAAAAGGGCCTGGAAAACAGTAATTGTGACTAATTTGCTTGGAACCATCTGGGACAGGCACACATGGTTTCCAGTTAGAAAGCCATTGAACAAAGCAGATGGGGGCCAACAGAGGGTGGTGACAGGTGTCTTTAGCAGGTCAGGGGTGAAATGCCTTCCTTCCTGCTTTAAGAGGATCCAGCAGGTTCATATTGTCACACACCTTGGGTAAATTTGACTCCATATTCTTATCAGTTCTTTCCAGTATATAAAAACTTGTATTTACATTAAAGCCCATATTAGGCAAAAGATGCTTTTATGTTAGTTGGATATTAAAATAACTTCCACCACTAAATAGGTCTAGTGGATCCCAGACTATTTAATCATCACTACTTTTGCATTTTCCCACAAATACCCCTCCTTCTCTCCTTCCCTCCCTCCCTCCTTCCCTCTCTCTCACTCTCTCTCTGCATGTCTAGCCATGGCTCCATTTGATTACTAAGGAATAGTGGCAACCCCACAAGAGCACTATGAAATGATAGTCTCATACCCTACATTAGTAGAATTGAAAATCTGTTTTTCTGCCATTTCACCTTATGGTATGACTCTTATCCTTCACATTCTCCACCTGGTCTGGTACTTAAAACAAATGGATTCTCCAAAAGCACCAACAGATAAGGATGAAATTACCCATGCAGACGGGGTTTTCTTCTGAGGACATACCCGTCAAACTGGGCCAGATGATCTGTCTCTTAGTCTCCCCATTCTTCAAGAGCTTTCTGAGGGTCAGACTATAATTGTCGTCTCTCTTTTTCCCCACAGGGAAACTATGTGTCTGCAAGAGCTTATTACGAGAGAGCCTTCCAGCTGGTTCCAGATAGCAAACTGCTGCAGGAAAATCTCGCCAAGTTGGATCGCCTAGAGAAACGATTACAAGAAGTTCGAGAAAAGGATCAAACGTAGCAGCGTTTGACCCAGTCTTGAGGAACAGTGCTGGTGCCTCTGGAAGAGGAAGAAGAGATGGAGGCCTTTACCTCAGCAGGGGCACAACAGAGAAGCCTTCCGCTCGCTCGCTCTGAGTTCAGGGAGGCATGTTTTGGGACGCCTGCTGGTAACCCTGTGCTGAGGGACTCGCATTTCCCTGGAAGAAGAAAGAGCAAGCAAGGGCTAGGTCTGAGAGAAAGTAAAACAACTACTACACATTTTGCAGATTTTTGTTGGCTTTAATTCCAGGTCTCCCTTCATCTATTTATCTGCTTTTCTAACCTAAGAATCTAATTCCATCTCTTAATGTAGACTTTTATGTCCCAGAAATACAGAGGCTTGAAATGCTGTGAAGGCAGAGCAGCTCTTCTTCATGAGATGAGATATGTCAAAGAGGGAAAAAAATCTCTGGGATAAACCATTTGGGTAATTCCACCAAGAGGTAGCTCATTTAGTTCTCCAGAACTAGAGATGAGTGGCTGATAGTTTTTGTAGAATCTTCTGGAATGTATGGGGGAAAGGGCTGTTGCTAAGTGAGCTTTGTCTAATATTCCCCTGAGGATATTGCTAGAGCCCAATTGAAGAGTGAATTAAATTCCACTCTGATGCAAGCTTTTCCCATTGCCTGAGATATCAAAAAGGAAGCTTCTGGGATTGTGTATGGGTGTTCTTATCCCTGGGGGAAAATCAAGGATCTTGGTACCCCTAATTCTTTATGGAAATGTTTAAGATTATTTTAATTTTATTACAAGTATTACTAGAGTAGTGGTTCTGCTCTAAGATTTCAAAAGTGCTTTTAGAATCATAAATGTTTCTGACTCCACATATATTGTTATTTCGGTGGAGAAAAAAACAGTATATTCTACATGAGAAATATTAAAGATATTAACTAAGAGAAATGTTCTACTTTGTTATCTTAACATTCAGTCATCCAGAGATTTATTATTTTTTTGAAAACTATATTTAACCATTGAAAAATCTGTACAATATATCACAAAAATCTTCATAGATTATAAACAGATGAGAGGAGTTCTATTGATTTGTCTACTGAGGCTTAATGAGAATTCTATGCTTTAGAACATGAATGATGGAAATCCGGAATTCTTGGTTCTGTATTTATAATTTTGGAGATTTCATGGAGAATACTCAAAAAATCTAGGGGAGAAAAAAGTAAATTCGTTATTATAAAATATATATTTATATTTAAAAGATAGAGGCCAGCAAAGTTGAACTTACAATTTGACATTTGTTTTTTAAGTTTTATTTATTTCATAACTTATAAAATATTTAATATATATAGACACACATTTTTTTCTCTGTACATAGTGGTTTTAATAGCAGCTTTCAGAACTGATCATACAAAAATTACAAATCTGAATTACAAAGTAAAGTTTTAACAGCCCCTCAAAAAATTTGTATTGATTATTCACTTGCTAAAGCTAAAGAAGTTAGGAAGCAGACATCAGTGTTTGGGTGGTAATATATTTTGGAAGTGAAGAAGATGGAACACCTGATTCTAATTTGGTCATCATCATAAATTAAAAAAAGAAGAAGAAGAAGAAGAAGAACCACTCTGGGGAGTGCTGTTTGCAGGCTAAGCCAGGTGGCCTGCAGATGTCATAGCCTGAAGGCGTTCGGATTGCACGTGCTCAGGCCAGGGCAGGGTAAAAACCGTGCTTCTTTTCAACACTGCCCCTCTGTGTTATTTTTTTGTCAAGGTAAGTCTAGTTAAAAGAACTTCTCTGGAAAGGGATGATGCAAGGAATATTTTGAATGCAGAGGATTCCAGAATTTGAATTGCACACATGTGTTTGTGTGCATCAATAATCCAACAATGTATATATTGCCACTATGATCTTCTGTTTCTAATAGTCTTTTAACCGTATAGATCATAAATTTATCCAAAATTTTGCTTAAAATATTTTCATTCTCCTCAAAATTATACTTTTACAGTCCTAAGGCCAAGAAATGTACTACAGTGTTCGTTTTAAATGATCAGTCCGCCCCTAAATTGGAAAAAAAAACAAACAAACATGAATCCCTAGCTAAAAACAGTATCTGAGACTTTAATCACAACTTTTTAGAATGATCTGTAACCAAAACTCACACTTAGGAAGTTAACGGAAAAGACTAAGCCCCAAATTTTGAAAAGCAATTATGCCTTACTTGAAGTGCTGCTAAAGGTATGAGGGTACATTAGTGGGAGTGGTTGAAATGGCGGTTACAGCCTAAAAGTTTCTGAGGGAAGGGGTCACATGGCCTTCAGAAGACTTGTTCTACCTTCTTTTGGGTGCTTTTCTCTTTCCCCATGTCTTTCTGTCTCTCTCTCCCTCCCTCCCTTCTCCCCACCCCCCTCAACCTCCCTTCATTGTGACCCTCCCCCCTTCTCACTGTAGCTCTGGCTCATTCTGTGTGCAGACACTGGCATCTCTTTGAACATGAAAAGTAAGCACTGTTTGTTGGGTCAGATATTTTTATCCTGATTTAATAATGTCACTGAGATGTAGCCAATGAAATAGTTCTCATAGTTAAATGGTGCCTCTAAGAAAATAAATCACATTATTTTTCAAAGATATTAAGTGTATTTTATAACTGTTTTTATTTGGTTCTTGTAACATGAAATAATATGTGGAATTCATTCTTATCAATAAAAACAGAGAGCCCTGGCTAGTTGTGGAGATATATCCAGATTCCCCTAATAAAAGTGTGCTTGGCAGGAGAGTTGATGGCCCCTTTCTGAGCTAGAATCGCAGAGCCAGCTTCATGGGTTTTCAGTTCATGTGGTCCTGCACTCGGAAGCCCCCTATGCTTGGTTGAAGGCTCTGCTTGAAATTCTTAATAATTTTTGAACGAGGGGTCCTGCAAATCTATTTTGCACTGAACCCTTAAATATGTAGGGTGTCCTCAGTACGAGGGAAGTTGGCCGAGGACAAGACAGGAGTTGCTTTAGTCTGGCTGAATGCTCGATCCAATGATCAAGAGTTTCATTTGTGACTCTGTTCCTCTGAGAACACTTGCTTTGTTTTCTCAGCTACGTTTAGAGTTCCTTGGGTACATATATGCCCCGCTTACTGCCAGTCTGTCTAACCTGTCCTGTCCTACCTAGAACCAGTCCTCCTTGCCTTTAAAATTCCCCAGTAAGTGGCAGTCCTTTGACATAGGAGCCATGAGAATGGCTTTACCAAGTTTATTTCAACCTTAAGAAGTGATCCAGATGTTTTCAATCTGTTAACGGTATTCACAAAACACTGTTCAGCGATGTAACACAGGTAAACTAAACCAAAGATTCAAATACCTTGGAGGAAAAGAAATTTTATTTTAGGGAATCCTGAGATATATTCTTTTGGGTCTATCTGTTTTGAGGTTCATCACAAAACAAAGAGGATTGCCAGCACTTTAATTACAACACCCTATAGTACATCACAGCCCCTAGCAGGAGACTGTGACATTTGTCACAGGTCATACCTCACTTGATGCAGGGGTCAGTAGTGGTTGCACAGTGCTTTTCAACAAGACTAAATGAGAAAATCCAAACTGTTCTATACAAACCAAACTGCAGAAACTATCATTTTAGGGGGAATAAAAATAAACGTGTGGTTTCTTACTGTCTCTACTAAACATTCCAGGCCCCATAGATCGAAGAGCCACATTCAGCTGATAGTTGAGAACTGTTCCTTCACACACAGGGGCTCTCAAGCCTGGCTGGACTGCTTGATCACCGGGGGCCCTTTGACAGTCTCCGAGGTGCTGGCCTCCCGGGTTCAGATGCTAATACGCAGCGAGGCTAGAGAACCACTTTCAGGCTAACAACTTTAATGGAACTTTTATGAGTTTTATAATCTTTCTTGAGTTTTACTTTTAAATCTAGACTAACATGAGCCAGAGAATTCTAAAAAATAATTTATGGCACAGATGACTGGCTGAGACTATTGTTTCAAGAATGACAGGTGCGTTGGGTGGGGTGTTTTGCACTGGTGGCAATTGGACTATAATTTGACCTTACATTTTCAGAATTCTTGGTTCTCAGATGGAGAGGAATTACCATTTGTATACACCAGACAAGGCACCCAGTATGTAAAACTCACGGGAGGTGTTCATGGTATAGAGTGTATGCCTAAACTTATGTCTGTTTTGATTACACACATGTCAATTTTTGCTAATTATTTCTTATTGTACTCATTTTTAGAATCTGTTTTTGAGGGAAAAATAAAACCTTTGATCTGATGTGTGAAGGATTTGCATCTTAGATTAATAAATCTATAGGGTATTAGTAACAACAATCAAAGCAAATGTAGTTATGGGTGGTTGGTTTGTTTTTAATTTTTCACCTAGTTTCCAAATCACATTTACTTTGATTAAATTGCATGTTGGTATTTCACAATAATAGGAAAACATAACTATCTGACATCTTTTGGCATTTTTAAAAGAATAAAAACCTGTCAAATCTTGCATTTAGGCTGCAATTGAGTGAGATAAAAGCTTACAATGCCAAATATATATATGGACGCATTATAACTTCTTACGATTATTCTTGAAGTTTTGATGTAAAAGAAAAATACATTGAACAGTTCTTCAAAAAATAGCACTTCCTTCATTATTTTTGTTTTTAGTAGCCATTAACTTAAGGAGAATAAAAATAACTGCAATCAAAGGAGTGCTTTAATATCAGCAAAATAAAGTGACAACAGAATTGATGATTTTCCTGTCTGTCAAATGGCTCATATAAAAATGCGCTATTATCACCAAAGATCCTTTCAGTTAAAACCTTTTGGGGCATGTAGCTCATAAAATCAGCATCCATCACCTTAATGGTCATTATAAGTTTGTAAGTTTAGATCACCATTTACCCCAAAATGGAAAGATATGTCGATGTCCAGAAGCCCAGTAGTTTCTTCCCATTCTCGGTGGTGCAAATGGTGTATATTTATGTCACGTTTGGAAGTTTCCAATGTGCATAACATCCTTTTGGGGTTGCCTTGCTGGCCCAGAAGAGGGGTTCGCCAGTCCCAGAATCAGGAAATCTGGGTGGTAGGCCTGTTCGGCCACGAAGGAGCTGCCTCACCCTGGGAAGGTTACCAAGTGTCTCAGCCATATCTGAAACCAGATTGAAAGCCCTCTACCTCTAAAGAGGTAACTGATTAGCGTTGCCCTTAGTTTTCGAAATTAAGATAATCACCACCACAAAACACATAATACAACCATGAAGGTGACTGCACTGTTCAAGTGTTTTAATATGGCAGAGATAATTATTCTTATTTTGCAGTCTGTACACCTAAAAACTGGTCATTTTGTTATGTGTCTGGGGGAAAAGAGTTTTTCAAATTTCCACCAAAGGAATTAAAATATCTGTAGAAGCCATGGCTTGCTTTTATAATGTGGAAACCATCTGACTTGCTGTGACTCACGCGAATCCCTCCTTTTATCAGGGAGAAAATTACTTGCATCGTGTTCTTTGTTCATGTTTTTATTTTCTCCTTTGATCGGTTGTATATAAATGTACGTTTTTGTTACTTTTGCTGTGCCAGTTAGAAATATATTTCCCATAAAGTATTTCTCCCATTTAAGTCTGATTATGTGTGCTTTGCCTCGGTCTTTCCAAAATAAAATTTATGTAAATGTTTATTTTATATAAAATATAATGAAAATAATTACGTCTGTTTCAGTCTCTCAAGGGCTCCGTGATTAGTACCCACTGAAATCCTTGTCACTAGCTGGTGTCTGCTTTAAAAGAAAGAAAATTCCTTCCTTCTCATTCATTCATTGCATTGCATTGTTCTGTGTGTTTCATGTCTGCTCTCTTTCCCATACCTTGCAGTGAGTGTTTCAGGCCTTATGCGCTCCTGATTTCTTCCTCTCATCTTGCTGAGTAGGTGCCTTCACCTCTTTCTGTGGAGAGTAAGTAAAAGGTAGAAAACAGATATTCTCTCAATAGCCTGCACTCTGTCTACAAACTTCCCTGTACCCGATTCTTCCCCCTCCTATTAACTACAATGGAAGAGGGCCCTAGGCTCCGGATTTTGCCTCTTGTGAAGCTTCGTTCCATCCCTTTACCTCTCTTTTTCATCTTTAACTTCTTCCTTCTACTGGCTCTTGTGATTCCCTTCTATTTTAAAACAGTATACAGGTAACCACCATCAAAACCATTTGGAAAAAAGTGTTAAGTCCTTCCTCTGTTTCTTTCATCTCTAGCTGCTACCACATCTCTTTCTTCCTTCTCAGCCAAGCTATTTGAGTGAATTGTCTTCACCCATTCTTTCCATCTCCACCCTTCACATACCCTCTGCTTCACAGTGATCTGTCCCTGCAATAAATAAGCAAATGAAACTTCTGTTTCTAAGGTCACCAAGAATTCCCTTAGTGCTGAATCTTGGGCCTTGGCGGGACTTTGGAGAGGGTTCTAGAGTTTAGACCAGTAGTTTAGCAAGGATGGAAAAAGTTGTTTACACAAAACATTATTTGCCCGTGATTTGCTTGTTGCTCATAGATTAGTCACTAACGCTCCTAATTTTACAACTCTCCTTAGAGTTGGGGCTTCCATTAAGAGTCTTGGAAGGCCTCCAAAAGCACATCATTATCCTGCCCTAATGAAGATATGTTCATATTAAAGGCAGATTTCTCATACATCACAAATCCAATCTGGGAGAGTTCAGCCCACTCTCCTTTGACATCATTTCCTTTTAGATAGATAGATACTTATATAAGAATACTTCCATTTAGATGCTGCAACATCACCACAAACTCAACTTATATTTAAACCCATCATCTCCCTGGCAAATTTAAAACTATTGGATAGGTACCTATCCAATTGGATGGGTACACAATTCATATTGAATGGCGGGCTTCTTTCCTATTTAATGAGAAGGCATTATTTTGTTAGGCCTAGAAGGGACCAATCCTCATAAAAGGACAAGGTCTCACCAGGCTGTGAGTTTTGAACTCTGGAAACAAAGGGAGCTGTGCTGTAACAGGAAATGAGACCATGCCCAACCCCATGGAGACTTCTGGGTATGAAACAAGTGAGTGAATATCCTGCAAAACTGTGTGTGCATCACGCGTTGAAGACTGCATACTGACAGGGTCTGTGGGCCTTGCGAGAAGGTTAGCCATGAACTTGAACGTTTGTGGGTCCAATTGTACTTGCACACCACGTGAACATTTTTCTTTCCCTCCCAGTTCATTTGGTAACAGCTTTGTAGTGGTTTTAATCTGACCCCCTCTTAAGAAGAAGTAGGTATTTGGGTCTACCTGGAGGATCTGAGCTTATGTTGGAGAGGAGTTTGCCCCTGGGGCAGAGGATGTTTATGGTACTCCTGGTAAGATCGCCACAGTGAAAGCAAAATGTATGGGTGAGGTGGTGAGCGCCCCAGGTCAGGCAGCTACCAGAGCTGGGGATTCCCTTTGCAGTGCTCAAGCCTGCAGGTACAGGGCTTTGTTTTCACAGAAAGGCTGCTTACCTTACCAAGCCCCCTCCCAGTGTCCCCTAGACACCCAAGCTTAAAACCCAGGAGTCCTCTACTCAAACTGTTTTGCAAGGGGTCTTTATTTAAAATAAATAAGATGGTGCTTGCTATTCTCAAGAACAGTGCAGTCCGATAGAACTATTTGTGATGATGGCAGGGTCCTCTGTACACTCTCAACTAGCCACAGGTGGCTACTGAGCCCTTGAAATGGAGCTGGTGTGACTGAGGAACTGATGTTTTTACTGTAGTTAATACTAATTTAAATAACCACATACGGCTAGTGTCCACTATGATTGGACAGTGCCCCTCTAGAGCTTCTTAATGTTGGTACATGGGACATAAAAATCAGAGAAACACCTTTTATGTTCATGAGAGAAGGTTCGAGACTGTTTCAGGTTTCAGTGCCAATTGCATTCTTAAAGCTTTTCACCGAAAGGGGCCCCTTGATCTCCTGTTCCCTTCTGCAGTTTCAGGGTCATTGCCCTCAGCCGATTCTCACCTGCCTGTTTCTGTACCTGCATTCCCTCCACCTTGACTGTCTTCTGCTTTTCCGTCCATCTGTCTACTGCCTGCCTGTTTGCCTAATTTGTATATCTCCCACCTTAAGTAGCTTTTATTTCTATTATACATGGAAGTAAGACAACTGGGCCTGGGAGATTGGTGTCTACCTTAGTTATATATAGAATGTCCACTGAGCTTTTCCCTAATTTTTTGATAAAACATAAACCCATTACAAATTCTGGCTTTCTTCCTTTCCTAACCTCAAGCTATCTTATGACAAAATAACGCTTACGGAAAAATATGTTGACATGATAATCTTACGAATGAATTCATTTTAATAATCTTACATGATGGATCCTACCGCTTTGGCCCATTCCACTGAAGCTAATAACACAGCCACCCAGGAAGGGGATGGCAGCTATAAACCTGATCTTTCGTACCCACTCTGAAAATTCTTGAATGTCAAGGGCTTCAACAAGCTTCTTAGGTGGGGCAATCCTATTAATTCCTCAATAAGCTTCCATGAGTCTTCCTCCTTTCAGAAGTGGGCGTGCCTGTGTCTCGTATGGGTGACCAGCTTCCTCGACCCTGGCTTGGGCCACACTCCCTGGGTTGGAACCAGAATTCCCCTGTGCTGAGCGTGCCAGCCCACTGATCCCCTTGCTCCCGGGATCCCCAGCGGAGCCCCCTGCACACCTGTAAAGGCAGGGCGCGGGGATGATGGGGATGATGATGGGGATGATGGCGCGCAGCGGCAGCTGTGAGCCCAGCGGCGCAGCAGGTGCGGCCCAGCGGCGCCCGCGCAGGAGTGAAGAGCGCGGCGGGCGCTTCCGGGAGCGGGAGGGTCTACGCCGCGGGGCTCGCGGTCCTCGCTCGGTTTCTGCCGCTGCGGAGGAGGAAGCGGGCCAGAATCCCCCAGCCCTGGGGCCATGCGGGCGCCGGTCAGGCCGGGTCTGCTGCTCTTGCTCGCCGTGGGCCTCCCGCAAAGCCTAGGTGAGCCCGGACTCCGAGCGTCGAGGCTGCGGCCCCGGGCTGAGTGCTGGCGCGGGAGACTTCCTTACTCCTTCAGCCACGAAGACGGAAGCGGGAGGGGCTCGTACAGGCCCAGAAATTCCCAAAGAAGGGCCTGCGCCAGGTTTTCTTTTAGAAATTCTTCGGATTCTGGAGTGCAGGGTTTTAGGCACTATGCCAAGGAGCCTTCTCCACGGAAGAATAGCCAATTAGAAGTAATTTAAAAGTCAAATATCTCTTTTCTGGAGTAGCGTATGTTGTTCTCCAGTATCTTTAATACACCCTAAATTCTACAATGCTCCCCCCGCCCCGCCCCGCAGTAAGCTCAGAATGGATCTGGGGTGGGGGTTGGGGGGAGCAGGCTCCTCCCCGTCCCTCCCTGCCCCCCCTCCCGGGTCGTACTAAGGCAGCGCAGGCTGTAAAGGAGCAGGGGCGTCTTGAAACAGGTTCCAGTCAACAGGGGGGTAATTGTGGGATAGTCTCAAGAATATCTTGAGAAAAGAAGGGGGATAGCCTGCTGCTGAGTGACATCAGAACTTTCGTGCCAGGCCAGGAAAATCGGAAGGTGGAATCTTGATAAAGTGAATCCTTACATTGAGGTGCTCCGGGTGTGTGTGCGTGTGCGCGCGTGTGCGCGCACACACACACACACACACGCTCTCTCTGCCACACAGAACTGAAGTGTGGGATCCGTGCGGTTGATGTGAAAAGCACAGAAACTGTCTTGGAAACCGGGTTCTTCCCTAGAATTGTTGGTTGGAGAAATTCAACAGTCGGTGGACATCCGTGGCAGGTCAGTATAACAAAAGCATTGATTTCTTAATGAGAAATGGTGAAGTTTTTCTCTTGTTTCAAATATCACAACTCTGGGTTAACATGTAATTTTTCTCTTGACCCTGCTCAACCTCTCTGTCAGAAAGTTTACTTCACAGGAACTATCTTTAACCAATTATATTGGTAACTTAACAATGTTATATAAGAAGAGTTGACTTCAAATGTTTCTAAGGGAGATGACATCTATGGGGAGACGTATATTAGTTATGTTTGTGCTTTTCTTGTTGGGCAGGTCTCCCTAAAATTAGGGGAGCACCACTGCTGTGGAGGAAGCTTGATCCAAGAGGATCTGGTTGTTACCGCAGCACACTGCCTGGTTGGCCTCAGTGAGTAAGTTGTGGGTTTCCATTACTTATCAAACCTCTTTTCGTAGCAATAGGACTGGGAGATTTGAGCTCTAAATACGATGGGAGGTTCAATCTCAGTCCCTTTCTGAATTTTTCCACCTGGTCCACCCACTCACGGACCTTCCTGATCCCCAGAAACTTGTATCAAGATCATCTTAAGATTTCCTGTACTTCCTGCTCTCCTAATCAGAGACCCCAAAGATCCCAGATATCCTCGATAATTCGTGGAGTTAGTAGTGAGGTGGAGGTGATAGTTACTTGTTCTAATGAAGTATTGACATCAACTGTTTAATGGATGTTCCAAAATTTTAATAATCTCAGTTTCAGTCATTAGGAGGGAAAAAATACTGTGGAAATAACAGATACTTAGCTAGGTTGAGAGTACTAATAATAAGGAGGAGAGTTCTAGGAACAACTTTTATATCTTATTAAAAATGATAGAGCATATATAGACTGGTACAAAAGGGGGGGAAAAAAAGGCCACGCTTAAATATTTTATGCAGAAAGACAATTGATGGTAGGGGAAAGGGTTCCCAGAATGTAAACACTCTGATGGAAAATCGTGACTTCTTACAGATCCCTATCATTTATGGGCAATTATGATGGTAGTAATCATTAATAAAGGTGCATCTCCTTTTAAGACTTAGAAATGCTTAAACTTACACTAATCACTTTTCACTTAATTATGTGAAACCAAGACAGGCTTTCCTGGGGGAAAGATCTATACTTATTGAAACATTTTTCTTCGGTTTTAGGAAGCAAATTAAGAGTCTAACTGTGACTGCTGGGCAGTACAGCCTCTCTCAGAAGGGTGAACATGAACAGAAGAGTCCTGTCTCAAAAATTATTATCCAGGGCGCCTGGGTGGCTCAGTTGGTTAAGCAACTGCCTTCGGCTCAGGTCATGATCCTGGAGTCCCGGGATCGAGTCCCTCATCGGGCTCCCTGCTGCTCAGTGGGGAGTCTGCTTCTCCCTCTGACCCTCCCCCCTCTCATGTGCTCTCTCTCTCTCTCATTCTCGCTCTCTCAAATAAATAAAATCTTTAAAAAAAAATTATTATCCATCCTGAGTACAATAGACTTGGATATATGAGTTCTGATATTGCACTGCTCTATCTAAAACACAAGGTTGACTTTGGTAAGTAGGGGAGTTAGCACATGAAAAAATGTAGGAGAAATCTGTTTTATTAATTCTGTACCAGCTTTAATTTCTGTGCATATATCTAAGTAATATGAGAATAGCTAAGTTTTGTTCCTTTCTAAAATGTTGTTTATAACTTATAAAAAGCTGATACAGGCTATCAGTCCCAGACACAAATTATGTATGCTTAACTTAATCCACATTTTAAGTACTCCTGTCTTAGCTGGGCTACATGCTAGACTTAACTCTAGCCAGGTAGTTTGGGACATTTGAAAATGTTCTCAGAGACTTCTTTTCTGTCATTATTGTGGACTAGATATCTGACACTCTCTCAGCACAGGTAATCTAGACATTTTGGATAAGAATATTAAAAATCTGTTTTTTAAAAATGCAAAAAAGAAAAGTGTTCAGTGGCCCCAAACAATGAAAGAGCACAAATCTAGATGAGTTGGCCAGGTAATGAAATAAGCCATTGCCTTTGAGGCATCAAATTGATCTTTAAGAACCTAGAGCTTTAATTGGTCAAGCAAGGAGCCTGCATGGGAGGAGGGATGGAGAATGGGAGAGTCTGGTTGGAGTCTCCTATGTAACCCCTGACTTCCCCACAGATGATGCTTTGAAAGGTAGGGGAAAAAAGAAAGGGAAATATGCCACATAAAGTGAGGGAATAAGGAAACTTACCTGTTTGATTATTGGCTCTGTAATCATAAGCAAGTCTTCATTCAGGTTTAATGCTGGAATTCCCATTACCTGTGACCAAAAGAAACTATTGCCCCATTTTTCTGTTCCCCTTTATAGAAAAGCTATGAAGCTCCATTTATGGTAGGGAGGTTCATTTCCTCTCCTCAGTTCTCATAATTGCACGTATTAGGTTTGAGCTATCTGTTAGACACCCAAGTCAATCAGACACTCATGCCAATTCTCCCCCAAATTTGCTCTTTTCGCAGTCACTGACCTCCATGTTGTTAAATTCAAAGGTAAATTCTCAATCCTCAGCTTACTTGAAGGAGTTTTGACAGAGTTGCTCATACTGTCCTGGAAACATTTTCTTCACTTGAGCTCTAGGAGCCCCTGGGTTTGCCTTCCGCCTCTTTTTTCACCCTTTGCGAGTCTTCTATGATGATACCGCCTCCTCTCTGTGACCTCTTATTGTTGGTGTGCTTGTTCTCTATCTGTCTTTACTCCTTCAGTGGAGTAAAGCCTTCAGATTAAGGCTTTAAACACCATCTGTGTGAAGACTCTCCCAAATATTGACTATCTAGCCCAGGTTTCTTTATATTACATACGCTGCTGGGATTACTAGGAGTTGTATAGCTAACTGCCTACTGGTCATCCACCTGGATGGCTAATAGGCATCTCACACTTAATATGTTCAAAACAGAATCTTGATTATCCCCTACATCCTAAATCTGCTTTACCCATAGCCTTCCATTTTGATTAATGACAATTCTACCTTTCCTGTTGATTAAGCTAAACACTTTGCACTGGGTCTTGATTCCTCTTTCTCTCACATTGATTCTTCTTTCTCCCAGAAAGGTCCTGTTGCTCCTGCCTCACCCTCTCTACTCTTAGCATCCTGTTCCAGGCTACTATCCTTTCTTGCCTGGGTTAATTTTAATAGTCTCTTAAATTGTCTTTAACTTCCTCTTTTGCATGCCTAATGTTTGTTATTAACCCAACAACCAGACTAATACTTTTTGAAATAAGTTATATTATGTCACTCTGTTCAAAACACTTCAGTGGTTCTTCATTCCACGCAGATGGAAATCAGTATATTCTTACCAGTTGACATCTCTGTCCTCCTGGCTCTATTTCTGATCTGTTGTGTGTGTGTGTTTCCCACTAAACATTTTTTTGCTTAATCTGTTCCAGCCATTCTGGCCAACTGTTCCTCAAGCATATATGACATGACCGCACTGTGGGGACTTTCCATTCTTCTTCTTCAAATGCTTTCTGCTCAGATAACTGCATGGTTCCCTCCCTTGGCTTTTCAAGGCTTTACTCAGATGTCATCTTCTCAATGAAACTTGCCATGACTATCATATTTAAAATTACATTTCCCAGGCCATCCTCCCTAATCTCCAGATTTCAGATCTTCTTTACCCTACTCAGATTTTTCCAGAGTGATAGTACCTAACAACCAAATAAGTAATTTTATTTATTGTTTGCATGCCCGCTTCCCCAACACACACTCTTGTATGTAAGGGATTTATCTTTCTGCTTATTCACTGAAGTCTAGAAGAGGGCTTGCCACATAGTAGGACTCAATTACTTGTAGGGAAAACTGTCCTTTAAGAACAAGGGTCTACCCTAAAATGTTAGTAGTTTTGGAGGATCATGGTGGTGCATATAACACTGGATTATGTTCTTCCTTGTTTTACTTTTTCTGCATTTTTCTAAATTTCTAAAAATACGAAATAGTTTTTTTATGAGAAGGGAAAACTTTTAAGATATATGTCAATATTACATTTAGGGGGAAAGTGTAGAAGCTGTGAAATCAACTGGATGCCACTTTTCCAAATATATTCAGTTTGACTTACCTATCTCTGAATCTTATAATTTTCTGTTATTGTTGTTCTTCCAGGAACTGCTGTTCAGCCAATCTGTCTTCCCCATAGAGATGATAAATTTGAAGCAGGGATTCTTTGCATGACCAGTGGATGGTGCAAGATCTCAGAGAGTAAGCGGCATCAAAAGGATGCAATAAGAGTGCTTCTAGGTTTCTTTGCCCATGAGAAGCAGGAATTTTACTGGCCATGAACAATACATTTATCCTATTTTGCTTTTGTTTTTTTCCCCTGAGTTATGATCCAGTGAGAATTTCTGGTTGTCTTCCCCATAAAAATGACTACACTTAAGGCTCTACCTAAAACTTCTGCTGCCCATTTTGGTCAGGTGTGTCAGAAAAAGAAAACCAGCAGTAACTATGACAAATGAAGAAGAATACAGTAAAGGGATAATCAGGAAATAGTAACAATGGTTAAGCGTCCTTGTCTTTAATATTGCGATTTTTTTTTATAATAAAGAATTTCACAAAATACTGCTTTATTGACTGAAGTTTTCCTTCTTGGGGAAACTTCAGCGAGGACAATGGTTGACTGACTTATCAGACTGTCTCCACAGCATCAGAATATTCAAATGTCCTACGAGAAGTAGAACTTCCCATCATGGATGACCGAATGTGTAATAGTGTGCTCAAGGGTATGAACTTTCCTCTTCTGGGAAAGACCATGATGTGTGCCAGTTTTCTTGATGAGGAATAAGATGCGTGCCAGGTAAAAAGCATCAACCAGCCCAGTTATTCAGTATCATGTAGGTGATAGTGGATTCTGCCTTTCCCCATGAGCTGCTTTTGCAGAATTACTGCTTCAAAATTCTTTTTTTGTTCATCTTTTTACCATGCTTCTTTTTGGAGAGAGGGAGGGAAGGAAGACAGGAGAGTTGATTTCAACATTTCCAACCTAATGGAAGGAAGCAAGAGCACTTTGGCAAACTAATTAGGTCTATGTGTGAATTATTTTTCATTGCACCTTTTGTTAAACATTGTGATTTTTTTTTTAAAGCCTTTAATGCAGAATGCAATGCTTGCACAAAATTTGACCAAAGAGGGCATAGCTATAGTAACTGTTGGATAAAACATGTGAATGACCTTCCGAGGCTGACACAGCAACTTACCAAGAAGACTGATCTTCACAAGACAGAGGGGAAAGGGAGACTAATTTGTGAACTCAGGCATTTTAGGTTTTAGATGGAGAAGATAATACTTGGAAAGACATTAAAAAAAAAAAACAAAACTGGAGGAGCAGGCAGTCTTTATTCTTCCCCAGCAAGCAGTTTAGAACTGCTGTGGGAAGCTCCCTAAAATTAGCTGTTGGAGAAAAATTTGACTTTTGTTCTGGGAAAGAGGGGTTGCGGGTAGGAGGCAATAACAGGACAGGGACCAGGAAGAGTTTGGAAGGGAGGAGATAGAAATTTAGAATTATGCCACTTTCTAAATTGGAACACAGGTAGACTAAGAGTGCTTTATCCTATCTGCATCCTTGAGAGACAATCCTTTTTTGGATTAAGCCTCGAACAATTCTGTGCCTTTTGAAGAGAGTTTAATCTGACACAGAGTTTAATTTGACACGTGTTCTCAAAGCAGCACATGATTATGAAGGATTATTAAAGAAAGGATCCTAAAATCATGGGTTCGGGGCACCTGAGTGGCTCAGTCGGTTAAGCGGCTGCCTTTGGCTCAGGTGATGATCCCAGGGTCCTGGGATCAAGCCCCGTATTGGGCTCCCTGCTCAGCGGGAAGCCTGCTTCTTCCTCTCCCTCTGCCTGCCACTCTGCCTACTCGTGCTCTCTCTCTCTCTCTCTGTCAAATGAATAAATAAAATCTTAAAATAAAATAAAATCATGGGTTCTTTCTCCTCTAGTCTGAGAGCCAACAGTCCTTTACATGTAGCCTCTGGGACAAAGTTAGGCTTCTGTTCTTTTCTCAGAGCCTTCAGCCGTTGCATGAACTTGGGGACTCTATTTGCTGGTGCTGTAGGCTTAGATATGACCCAGTCTTTCCCAGCAATTCCAGGTGACAAAGTAGAGTGGAAGACTGTATCTGTAAACTTTCCCTGCTCCTTCCAGTGGTTTGGAATGTACATGGTTGTTCTCCAAACCAGTAGGGGCAAGAGAGAAATTAAGCGTTAGCTTGACAAGATTGCAGGCAGTGATTGGAAGGAAGTTACATCTCTAGGCAAAAAGACTGTACCCTGAAACTAACGGTGAAGAGACAAAAAGATGGCCCCCCAAAAAATTGATGGACAGTACCCAGTGAGCATCTGTGCCTCTACTGCTTCTCTCTTTGAGATGAGTACTGTTGTTTGTGGGCCTGCTACAATATTTTTAACTTGTGAGTATTTTCAAGTTTTTTTCTGTCCTATGAAAGGGAGACTCTGGAGGTCCGTTTGTTTGTAGAAGAGACAGTGGAATCTGGGTCCTTGCTGGGATAACTTCCTGGAGAGCTGGGTGGACTAGAGATTGGACTTCTTTAAGAACAAACCATAGAAGGACATCACTGGGCATATTCTCCAAGGTGTTTGAGTTGATGGATTTTATCACTCAGAACATATTCACAGGTAGGTGTAATTTCTGTGAATTCACCCTTTCTAAATCAAAAATTGATCATGCTTATTTCAAGGGTAGTTACTCTGATATGTTGCAGATATAATAGAATTAGGCTCTAGAAGCACGAATATGTCAATTTTCAATTCCTAATCCAATGTATATGAACTTAAATCTCTAAGTTCATGAGAACTGGTATCTTTCAATTTAACTTGAACTAAACTTGGACATAACCTGGATCTTCAAGTTTATGTTCATATAGATTTTTATGAGATGTGGGTCATTTTTTTGAATTTATAAGATTTAAAAAATAACCATTGAGAAAGGACTGTTTCTTCATTTATCCAGTTGACATATCTTTTTCCTCTAAACTAGTTTAGAGCACTAAAAATACATTTCTCCTCTCCCATTTCTCCCATTCACCTTTGTTAATTTTACTTGGCAACAGTGGGGACAATAAGGGAGGCTTTGGAGAGTTATTTTTGTTTTGCAGCGCTAAAATCTAGATTAGGAAAAAAAATGTGGGTCAAGAGATGCCAAACCTGTCCACAAGGAACTTTCCTGTTATTTGGGAAGACAATGGAATAAATTGACCGATGTGACAGAAGGTAAAGTGTGGATAAGCTCCAAGAGCTGTCAAAGCACCGAGGAGAGATCTGAGGAGCTCAGTCCCAAGGGACCAGAAGGTGTGCCATGCAAAGGGGCAGCATCTATGCAAGAAATGCCCAGGGGGCAGCCTCTGTGGAGTAGAGAGGTGTGAGGATACATAACTTACAAGAACAAGCAGTTTAGTACAAGAACCAGATTTTTTCAAGGCCAGGACCCAGAGTATCAGAACCTAGTGTTCTCTCCCTCCCCAGCACTCCCTCACTGTAGTCCACGATCAGCCACCTTGCTGATGATTCGAGAAGCACCACCATGACTGGTTCAGCTGAACACCAGAGCTACCTCTGACTAGAGCAGGCTTACCACTCACTCTCATTTGGGCATCAGAGTGAAAGTGTTCTGTTCATTGTCATTACTGCACAGGGAAATTCTCTCCTGGTAGCTATTCTTTTCAGTTTTCATCACCTGGAAGAGAAGGTTAAAAAGATGAACAAGCCCTGAACAAAGGTTAATGATAACCATATTTTAAGAAGGCAATGAAATCATCCAGTAACAGTTAATTTCACGGTCAAATGAATAGCAGAATGTGACAATTTATTTAAATAACACTTCCTTAACCTCGTCTTTCTAAGCTTCTCATCCCCTAAATTGCTTGTTTTTTTCTAGCTTTCAACAATTAAAATGTGACACTGGAATCTGAAGTTTCTGAGTGCATGATAGAGACTTGCCACATCATTGCTAAAATTTGTGTACTTTTACTTTAGTATTTTTCTACACAGGTATTTTATTACAACCCAGGATATTCTAGTGAGAGATGGAGGAAAAAGCCATATTATTTCTATATGCTATAAATTTGAAGCCTCAACATGACTCATGATTTTGAAAACTGGATAAAGAAATGTTAAATCTGAAGAACTTAGATAAAGAAAAGAACATTATGATTTAGAAATTTTCTCAGTGAAGTCTGAGGTCATAGCATCTAAAAACATGCATTCCCATAAATGTAAATTATATAAATTATACAGCTTCAATCTGACTGTGTACCATAGGTCTTGAAATTCTGTTCATAGCTGAGGTAAATAATCAGCTTTTTCCTACATTTTGAAAGCTTGTAGATCTCAGGGAACAGTGTTATTTGGAGAAAAGGGGAAGATTCATTACCCCCATTCCAAAGAGGACAGCTCTTCTTATAATTGGTATGTATCCAAGGTAGGAATGATTCTTGGGTTCCCCCCAAAATCTTTAAGAGCCATTTTTTGGCAATTTTATCTAGTATGTCAATTTCTCAACCTGATTAACATAAAAGTCTATATATTTCATCTGATATTTTCTGGTTGGCAAGTATTTGCTGACTGATATTTCTGATATCCACTAATACAAACCGTCAACACGAGTAGTATTAAGACCGGGGCTTGCCTGAATTGATGTATTCAAATATCCAACATTAACAGCATCTGGTAGTGAGATTGTTAGGGGAATTTATTGATTAATCCTTTCCTACTTATTTCTGTAATAATGGTAATATTTTGTTAAGTGTTGCCTAGCAGATGGAAAATAACTTCAGTGTCTTTAAATTTTTTCTACATAACCTGTCCCCTCTATGGCTAAAGATATCTTTAAGCTTTAGAAATAAGTTTTGCAAGTACTTCACTTCCTCAACTGTTGTAAATTAACTTTAAATCTTGTATGAGCATTGAAAGATATGCAAAGGTTAGATCACAGTTCTGTGAGTTTATAATCTGGAAAGAAGAAAGAGCTGGATAAAAAGAACTATACTGTAAAACATGATCAAATAAGCTTTATAATCCACACTACCCAGGTGTAAGGTGGTATTATGGAAAATGCAGAGACTAATTCCAATTGCAGTGGTTTGTCCAGTGTGTGTGTTCATACATACTATGGTTGAGAGAGAAGGGGTAGGAATGCGTTAGTGAAGGGGGCGGTATTGAAACGAGGCATTGGGGGATAGTTACAGTTTTGTAGCTCATGAAGTTTTTTGTAGCTCTAGTACCTAGGAGATTTCAACAGATCATGCTAGGCAGAGGGAATTATGTGCAAGCAATGTCAGGGAGGTGGAGATTATTACAGTTCTTTGGACAATGTGTATCGCAGGGGAGCTGGATAGCAATCTTAGCATAAACAGAACTAGTGTAGTAGTAGACAATGAAGATAAAAAGGCTGGTTAGATCTTAATTGTAGAGCACCTTAAATTCCATGAGAAGAAGCTTAGACTTTTTGCCATAGGTGATGGGAAGCTAAAATGGTGGCAAGATTATAATTTATAAAATGAATGTATCATGACTGTAAATACTTGTTATAGAGAGGGAATGATATGGCTTAATTGAAGCCCATATTTAAATGGCTTAAAAGTCTAAGTTGACTTTCTGTGCATCAACCTACTAATAATGTAATACCAATTAGGCCTTTGCCATCTTTTCTTAAACTTTTAGAAAAATAGCATCTAGAGTGAGAGTGAGAGTCCTATTTTATTAGCGTCCTGGGCAGGGGTAGTCGGGAGGGGTCTCCAGGTACAATCTTTAAAGAGGGACATTGATAAGCTTGAAATTCTCTGAAGGATAATGGCTAAGATGGGGAGAAATTTGAAACAATATCTTGGGAGATATGGTAGAAGGAAGCAGGAGTGGTTTTGATCCAAAGAAGACTTGAGACAAGGAAAGAACTTAATCTAAGGAGCCACTACAGATATTAGGAGGAAGCAGATTTCAATCCAAATAAAGTAGTTTCTAACTTGAGAGATCTCTGAGACTTACTGGCCTTCCTCAGGAGTAATGAATTTCCTTTATAAGTAGGTATTTGAGAAGAGCATGGATGGCTATGGGTGAAGTTCTAGAAAGCATTGATACATTAGGTTAAGAGATTGCAGATGGCAGCCAGTTTACCCTCAAACACAGAGAACTTGCAATTCAACTTAGACAATGAAGTATTGAAGAGATTTCTGCAAGAAAGACTTTCAAGGCAAAAGGGGTTGTTATTAGTGTTAGATATCACAGAAGTCAAAATGAGGTCAGATAAAATGCCATTGGATATGGCAGTTCAAAATTTAGCGGCTAATTCAGTAGGATTGTAGGATCAGGAGCTATGTTCATAATTGGCTAAGCGATTGTTGAAGAGTTGGTATCTTTCCTTCACCAAGTAGTCAAAACATTTTTATCAAAGCTTTAAGATGTGTCAGGCACTGTTTTAGGTGCTAGAAATACAGCAGTGAATGAAATGGACAAAAATACTTCCTTTGTGAGGCAAGGTGGAAAGTGGAGAAGGGGGTAATACGAATCATGTTATAAATAAAAATAAGTGGTAAGGGCTATGCAGAAAAACACAGGGATGGTTGTGCAATATTAGAGAAGGTAGTCAGGGAAAACCTCACCAGAAAGATGATATTTGAACAAAGACTTGAAGAAGATGAGGGAGGGAATCATACGGGTCACCTTGGGAAGGAACATTCTTTGCAGAAGGAATGGCATGTTTGAGGGAGGAAAACTTTTGGTATGTTTGGGGAACAGTTGGATCAGAGTGCTAGAGCTAAGTGAGGGGGGGTACGTGGTCGTGGTTGGCATGATCAAACTTACAGGACATAAGGTCATTGGATTTTACAGTAAGATGTGTAGCCATTGGAGGATGTTGAGCAGATGAGGAACATGATCTGACACAGTAAAAAAGGATCACTTTGGCTGTTGTATTGAAAATAGACATTAGATAAGAAAGACCAAGAGCTGAAAGACTAGTTACTGCAATAGTCCAAGTAAGCATGGTGGCTTGGGACCAGGTTTGTAACAGTAGAGGTAGTGAAAAGTGGTAGATCCACAGGATTTGATAGTAAGTTGAAACTGTGGGTTATAAGAGAGAGAACGTTATGATTAACGTGAAGGTTTTTGACCTGTTGGAGGGATGGAGCTGCCATTGTTTTCGATGAGAAAGACAGTTAACAGTGAAGGGAAAGAGGAAGATGGGACTGTGGTTTTGGGTAGTAGGACAGGTTTTGAGAGAAGCAGGGGTTTTTTGTTTTGTTTGGGGGAGGGATGGGTTAGGCTTAACTGTGCTTACGAGGAGAAGAGAGAGGGAGATGAGTCAAGAGAAATGTATAAATACATGAAGGAAGTTTCATGAGAATACAACAAATAAAGGTTTAGCTTTGAAAAAAAATGAATAATTACTTTCCTGGGAAAGCAACAAAAAAATTTCAGGTTACTTATAGGAAAGTTAAATAAATTTACACTAGATATCTTCTTAGTACTTATAAGGTTTTAGTTGCTTTAAGTTTAGAGGATGAAGTTGAGATTAAGTAGTTAAGATTTGTAATCTCATGTAAGGACTAAAAGAGATGAATAAGAAGACTTTCAGCAACTTTACAACACAGTATTAGCATGAGTTTATACTGTATTTCAGTACATCTAAAACAAACTGGTTGTAGAATTCATTGTTATTTTATGTATTAATAAAGAAATAGAAAATACCCAAGATTAGGAGATTTCCATCTAAAGAGAGGACAGCAAAGGCTATACCTTCAGTGTAAGGCTAAGCAAGGGATAGGCCCACCCACATGAAAAGTTACATGCCTCAACTTTGATACTGGGTGTAGGGAGGGGTAAAAATCTTCTCTGAGAATTTGAATCACAGACTAATACTTACGCAGGTCTGTTGTCCAAAATGTCCACCACCAGTATAGTCTGAAACACCTCAAGCAGAAAAATTAAGTAGCATGCAGTTGATAGTGCTCCTAGGTGACTGACCAAAGATAATTTCTTTCTGGAAGAATTGTTTCCATCTCAGTCTAACAGAACTGTAAGACTCCATTGTAAGATCCTTCTGATTTTTAGAATGTTCAAATGTGGGGGAAAAAATGTACTTTAGAAATCTAATAAGATATGGAGTCAATTTGCATACTTAGTGATTTCTCCATTATGCTAAGCAGCCTTGAGAATGGTAGAAGGATTAATTCCAGATGGAGTTAATTAAAGGTAAGGTAGAAACAGATAATGTGAAGAAGGAGCAAGGAAGGAGTTATAGTTTCTCCAAGCTTATCTTTATTCTGCTAGGCGGTACCTAAATTCTCAGACATGGCAGATACACGACACTCAGGTGGTCTCCCTCCTTCCAGGCCCATGAGAGACACTGCATTTCTTAGAGCCTAGAACAGTGCCTGGCATATAATAATGCTCAATAAATATCGGAATGGGTAAATCTATGCTTAATTTTGGTCCCCCTCTCTCACTTAGCTTGACTAGACCTCAGAATCCTTTTTAACACAGCAATCATTAACAATAAATCAGGTGATTTGAAATCTGTTTTCTATCTCTGAGGTAGAGGTTTTGAAGTAGAAAATTGGATGAACAGGAGAAAGTACTTGCCTTTGAAGCCATGAAACCCAAAGTGTATTTCCTATTATGTGTGAGGTGTGATGAGTCTTTTAATATCACAATAGTTTTCTTATTTGGAGGAGGGGGAGTACTTTCTCCCTGCCCACTTCAGAGGGGTATAATGAATCTCAAGAACGATGATAGGTGTGGAGTGCCTTCTCAGTTGAAGTGCCTAAAAAAAAAAAAGTGAGCTTTATAATCTAGACAGCTTATTGCTTTCTAAATTGAAGTGCTTAAAGAGTGATTTTTAATAATATTTTAGGCAGCCTTTTTTTACATCAATGTTCAAGATGATGGACTTGAAAAAGCAAAGCAGGGAGTTTCTGGTTAGGGAGGAGATATTTAGTAAGAATTATCACGTCTGGTCTTTAGAAACTGGGCATTAAGAAGTTGATAACTCCTGCGGTCCTGAACAGTATTCTTTGAGGGCAGTGAGAGTGTCAACAGGTCTAAGGTGGTTGATAAAGACTGTCCAGTTTTAGTTTATTCTGATGTGTTAGATTCCAGGCACAATTGCTTTGCACTCGGATGAATGTGAGACATGGAAGACACAAAGGATTTATGGTCTGCTGGGCTTTCTTTTCTTTAATAATACGAATTCATGAAGGAAAATAAAGGTAGAGGATTATGTGTTAAATTATGTAAGACTACTTTCAGGATGTTTAGACATGTTTCTAAGGATGTTAATAAAAGGTCACAGCTGACCTTACCAGGAGTTAGAGAGATGACATGGCAACCGCAGGCACCGTGACCCAGGCTGACCTTGGAGGATGTGACTGGTTAGAGTTAACATATGCAGCATAGTCAATCCATAATTCATGATCCATAATTCAACTTCTGGGTGAACATTATGAATTTTCAATTAGACTATTAACTTAAAACAAAGAGACGAATCTTAGGTTTTTCGATGTATAGATCAAAATTCTAGCATTTTATAACTGAATTAAAGTTAAAGGGTGGTTTCTGGTGATTCTCTAACCCCTTCATTTGTTGGATAAATGCCAGCAATTTGAGCATAAACAAATTATTCTCACATAAGGATTTCCATTGCCTTTTATCTCCTAATAGCCTTTAAAATTGTTATTGGTGAGTTATGAGCTAAAGCCCAGATACTAGATCTTATTTGTCACACTCAACTGTGCCATTTATTATGCTTTCTCCACCTTCCTCTATCTAGCTTATGTATGTGGAGAATAATGGTACCAGAAGATAAAATTATCCTGATAAAATTTACAAGCTTGGACATACAAAATCAAGTTGGATGTGACCATGACTATATATCTTTACAATCAAGCAGTGGAGTGCTTATTAGTACATATGTTACATTTATTTTTACTTGTCATGTTAGAGTATGTAAACAACGAAAGATGTGCAGAGGGACCTGAAGTTAGATTTCTGCCCCTAGGACATCTTCCGTACTGTCCCTTTCTGGAAGGGGTTGGGTGCGTGTCGTAGGAGAGGAACCAATGACCGGCATATGTACTGAGCTTTCTCTATTCCCTTCTCAAGTTCAATAACATTGATCTCATGACTCTCCGAAACTTCCTTTCAAGGCAATGTCTACCTTTTTGTTTTTTTATCACAAAATGGGTGCATGTTTGCCAAATTTGGTAAAGACAGATGAGTGAATGGCAGAAAATGTAAACTGTTAATAACCCTGCCACCTACAGATAAGTGCTGTTGCCATTCTGAGGTGCTGTGTGTTCATTTATATGTATTAACTGCACACACTGAACTTCACATTGTTTTATAATATTCTTTTCTCTCATGACAGTAGATCATTTCAGGTCATTTATGGAATACGTCTTATAAACTGTAAGCATAATTAATAACTTTAATTGAAACATGTTAAGCATCTTGATAGAGAGTCTCTAGAGCCGATATAGACCTTGGTCTCTAGCATAGGCCAGTGGTAAGGAAAATTATCTCTTCACAAACTGACAGGATGCTATAGATAAGGTATTGTGCTAAGGGTCATAATATTCATTGACTAAATGATTTCACACTTCAGGCCTGTCTGTTCTGTTCACTGATAGATTACCAATATCTAGAACACCAATATCTAGAACAGTGCCTGGCAATACCAAGCACTAAAATATTTTTTAAATGCATGACTAAATATTATTCTGTAGACCAATAACTAAAAACCCAATTGCTTAGCAGAGTCACCTAGGCAAGCTTTTAAAATCCAGTTCCTCAGATGTGGGATCTTGGGAGTTGACATTTTTGTAAAGCTCATCTGGTATTTCCGAATTACTTCTGTTGGCTGTTGCAAGCCATTGGAGGGAGGTGTTTGTTCTTCATTATTTCAGTTGGATGGGTCATTAGTTTCATCTTCTTTGCTGTAGGCATCTGTGGCATCCCTCCATTTAGTCTCCAGTGGCTTTCCAGAAGAACTGTAGAGGGCGAAGAAGCTTGCCCCCACTGCTGGCCGTGGCAGGTGGGTGTGAGGTTTCTAGGTAGTCACCAGTGTGGAGGGGCCATCCTCAACCCCACTTGGATTCTGACTGCAGCCCACTGTGTGCAATCGTGAGTGAAACTGATGATATTTCAATAATGTAGTTTCCACATGTATTTATAGACCGTGCCTAGCAAATAAGTATAATTGTCTAACTACTAAAGTCATCCGGACTAATTTTAAAGCAGGAATCTTGCAGTGATTTTCTACATAGCAATCTAGCCTCTACTTAAACAATGTCAGCATGGAAAATGTTAATCAAACCTTGAAATTGCTCATCCCATTTATGGCAATCTCTGATTATTATGTTGGTTACAAGTCTGCTTCTCTGTAGCAGAAAGCTATTGTTCTAAATTTACTGGAGTTCCAGAACACAAGAACTAAGTCTGTTTCTTCTTTCACATACAGTGCTTCCTATACCTGAAGACCTCTCTCACTTTGTCCTTTAATTTCATCTTTAAGCTAAATGCTCACCGTTATATTGTTTGTCAGTAATTCCAGATGCCTCACCATGCAGTGCCACTTCCCGTGGATTGATTTAGTGTTGTCTTTCTTAAAATGTGGTTCACAACCGTGGAGAGCACAATAGGATAATCTACCACCTTCATCACCGGACTACTAGTGAACTAAAATTTTGGTTAACTCTTTCAATGTTTTCAAATTATGAATTATGCCATGATATGAAAAAATGTACATAATATATGTAGTCTAAAGAATAGTAAAGGTACATATGTATCCCTGCCATTCAGTTTAGGAAGAATCTTTACACTTGAGACCCTTTTAGTGCCCCTACCAAGAGGTAGACACTATGCTAAATTTTGTATTTATGATGCCTTTCCTTTTTTTTATTTTAACATCTGTGAATCCCTAAAACAAGCATATTGTTTGATGTTTCTTGGTTTTGATAATGTAAAAGAATTGTAGTTTATATTTTTTGTGACTTGCTTTTATCCTCATGTTATATAGATAAGCCACGTGACTGTGTGTAACTGTAATTAACTCATTTTCAGTCCAGACCTACCTAAGTCAGTCACCTGTTGGTGAGTCCTGGATGCTGGTTTTTTTGTTTTTTGTTTTTTAACTCCTCAGATGATTCCAAAGTACAGCCATGATCAAGAACCACTTCCTGTCTATCTGACTCCAACTGGACCACTGCTGTGCTTGCTCATAGTGGACAAGCCCCATTCTTCAAACACACTACACTTGCTCCTGTCTCCAGATGTTGTTGTGGTTGCTGTTGCCTTTGCCAGTCAGGATACCGTATTACATTTAGTCAGCATGTCACATAAGGCTCCTTTTGGCTCTGAGTATCACAGACTTGCCTTGTTTTTGATGATCTTCCCAGTTTTGAGGAGTACTCATCTGTTATTTTGTAGAAGGTCCCTCAATTGGAGTTTGTCTGATATTTCCTCGTGATTTTACTGGGATTATGGTTTTGGAGGAGGAAAACCACATCGGTAATATGCCATTCTTATTATATCATTTTAAGGTTATGTGTTATCAACATGACTTATCACTGATGATGTTAACCTTGAGTACTGGCTGAGGTGGTATTTGCCAAGTGTCTCCATCATAAAGTTACATTTTCCTCCTTTCTACGCTTACCCTTTCGAAGCAAGTCACTTAGTGTGGACAACACTTGAGACGTTGGGTATAAGCTCCACGTCCTTGAGTGGAGAGTATTTATATAAATTGTTGGAAATTTTCCTGTATGGGAGATATGTCTCTTCTCTATTTGTTAAATAATTTGTTTATATCAGTATGGACTCGGGGATATTTATTTTAAAATACTACATAATACTACATAAAATACTAACATTCTGTTGCTCAAATTGTTTCAGGTTTGACCAGTGTCCGCTCTTTCAGTGTCTTTTGTGTGTGTCCATTTGTGACACTAAAGAATGATCCAGGTTTATCTTACATGTTCTCTGCTCAGTCCTGGAATCAATCATTTCTCCAATGAGCCCTGGTTTATTTTATTGGAGAATGGTATGAGAAATTAAGATCTCAGTGGCTGGTGTACTAGTTGCTCCCAGGGTGTTATTGTACTAGGTCCTCTCAGCGGACAGAACTAGAAAATATAGCCATGCACATGAATCCATTTTATAAACCTTCTTTCTGTATCTACATTAAGCTAAACATGAGTTCATGTGGATGTTTCCAGCTCAGTCTAATACCATATCATTCACTCTAGGCCTTCCCTTCCTTGGAGATGCCCACTTTATAGTAATTCTGTCAGAATTCATTTTTATGTATCATGGAAAAGAAGCCTCAATAGTAGCTGATTAATTAGTAAAAAATAATGTATTAGAGAAGACAAATATTAGTATTGAAGCTTGAGGCACAGAAGAAGTTTTGGCAGATTCCCTTGTCAAATAGAATCGTCTATTCTTAAGGTGGATATTCAACTTGATGAGTCAGTTGAGATTATTAAATACAGTCAGCCGTAAAAGTTTGTGAACCATTTAAGTTGACCACAAAAGGAATTTGTATGCAATTTCATCAGTGATTTCTTGATTTCTTTAAAAAAAAAAAAAAGATTTTTATGGGGTACCCGGGTGGCTCAGTCAGTTAAGCGTCTGTCTTTGGCTCAGGTCATGATCTCAGGGTCCTGGGATAGAGCCCCACGTCGGGCTTCCTGCTCAGTGGAGAGTCTGCTTCTCCCTCTCCCTCTGCCTCTCCACCTGCTTGTGCTCCCTCACTTTCTCTGTCAAATAAATAAATAAAAATTTAAAAAAAAATTAAAGATTTTTATAATAGTAATGCTTGTGGGAATACGCAGTTAAGAAAGTTATCAAGAAAAATCTAAACTGTCTCCATTTCATGGATCCATTCCTCCTCTTTAGAAGTGATCAATATTAAGAATGTCTTAATTATCAGATTTTCCACTAACATTTAAGCACACAGGCATATATAGTATTTTTATATACCACATATATTTTTTAATGATTTTTTTGCACAAGACATTGTGCTTTCTCTTTACAGTGATATGGAAAATGTCTTTGGGACTCATTTTTTAACTCTTCTTTGTAGTTGCCTAACTTCTTTCACCAAAAGAAATGTCTTTTTGAAGCCATTCCTTGCAGTGTATGGCTCTTTACACCAGAAGTGTTTGATAGGCCAGAGTAACAAAAGCAGGATGTTCCACTCATGCCCTGCCTTTGTGGGGACTCTGCAACTGCTTCCTTCATGGACTTGTTTCTCCTGGCCTCTTCTTCATTGACCTGGTAGGCATCAGGCCTTCATCCTCCATTGAAAGGGGCTTCTGCATATCCAAATCCATTGATAAGGGAAGTTCGCCATGTGGGATAAGCCAGCTGGGGAGACATGCAAGGTCTGGGAGCTGAGGTAGACATCATTTTTGCTGAAGGTGACTAGGTGCCAGGCTATCTGACCTTGTTGGGTAGCACTCCAAAGACGTAAAGGATAACCAACAGCAACATCGTACCACCTCCCATGACTTGCCTGGCACTGGTTGCTCTTAATATTAGTTCTCAAACTTAAGCATATACCAGAATCACCTGGAAGTTTTCTGAATCTGTAAGTCTGACATGGGGCCTGAGGGTTTTGTGTTTGTAGTCAGTTCCCAGGTAATGTTGTCCCAAATTTAGGGAAAACTGGTGTTGTTCTTTTGCTGTTCCACACTGGTCTTTGTGCTCATTTGGGATTTTTAACTCCCTTCAGAGGGCTAAATTCACTTTGCAGTTATATGTTGGAATCTTTGTCTCAAACCTAATTTTTTTCAATTTCAGCTACTTTTTTCCTGTAGTTCAGCAGTGATCCTTTCTTCTCCCAAAGCAGAAGTGTCCCATGTTGGATGTCCCATTGTTGGATGGGGGATAAGACCCTAAGGATATAAGAAATGAAACTTAGTTGTGAGCAAGGGGCCAGATAGGATGGAGAAACCTACCACTTGCTACTTTGAGCTATCATCCCACTACTGGAAAAACTCGGGCTTTGTTGCCTCATAACATGTGTGTTGCTCTGTCATATGCTTTTTACACAGTGCTCTCTACCAGATTAAAGGATATTTGATCACTGTGCACCTACAATTTCACTAAAGTTGTGATCTGCATTATCAACTCTACCATGATTTTTATTATTTCAATTTATTGTGCACACCATCCTCTATATAAAGGAGTAGAGTGGCTTTAAGAAATAAGTTTCTTTACTACCAAGTAATAATTTAGAGGGTGACTTTGAAAATAAAGTTTAATCCTTCTGTTAGAGTGCATGGCAGATACTAACAGCAGTAATGGCTACCATTACGGAGTCATTACCATCTGCAAGGTACTTGCCAAGTAGTTTACCTGAGTAGGCTCCCTTAATAAAGGCATATTGAAACACATGAATAAGTCAGAGTCCTCATGCAAGGAATTGAAATGAGCATGGTTACGACTAAAGAGAAGAAGCCTACATGTATTAAGAAATTTCTATGAATAAAGTGCACTGAAAAATAATTTCAGTAACTATTTTTTCTAAGGAAACAGGTTTGAAAAATTAAAGACTCTTCAAGCTGAGTAGACAGAATATCTCTGACAATTGAGGGACTCTTTCCTCAGATATTTCTTCAGCTAGAAATCTTGATGTGGCAGATTAATGGATGTTGATTTCAGTTTTTTTTTTTTTTAACATCCATTTGGAGTACATCAAAAGTGTGCCAATCTCAGGTTTATAGTTAGAAGAATTTGCACACAGGGAGCACCCCTGGAACCAGCGCCCACATCACGAAACGAAATACTGCCAACACCTAGCAGCCTCTTATGCTTCTTGCAATCATCAGCTCCCTGCCACTCCCAAAGTAACACCATGGGTGAGTTTTACCTATTTTGTTAACTGATACCTTTTTTTTTTAAACCTCCATTCTATTAATTCCGGTGGTTTGATAAAAGATAACAACTTGAGATGTATTCCTGTAAGATAATGTTTGGATACTCTGTACAGTAAAACATAGGCCAGAAGCTACCTCATTTTGAATGTAGGGTTTTTTTCATATATTCTTTTTTTTAAGATTTTATTTGAGAGAAGGAGAAAGAGAGAGAGGGCATGAGTTGGTGGGGGAGAGGGAGAAGGATAAGAAGTCTCCCCCCTGAGGGGGGAGCCCAATGTGGGGCTCAATCCCAGGACCCTGAGATCATAACTTGAGCTGAAGTTGGACGCTTAACTGACTGAGCCACCCAGGTGCCCCTTTTTTTCGTGTGTTCTTAACATCACTGTGAAATTAAAGTAAGCTGTACTTTTTTTCCTTCTCAACTTAAAACTAGCCTTTGGTGATATTTGGTAGGGGCTCCAAAGACATTTTATGGCCAAAAGAAGGTGGCAGGATACATAACTAAGAACTCTTCAGGTAGCTCAGGAGGTGTGTACCTTCCCAGCAAGGTGATCACACAAAGGCACCCGACAGGGGAGTGGGTAGGACATCTGGCTGAACTAAACTCAGTGCCTGTTGGTAGAGCCACATGGGGTTAGATCAAATGGTGAAAAATGTCTCTTCATGTCAAACTTTTGTCCTTGTTCTTTCTCCAGGAAAAATAATCCTCTCTTCTGGACCATTGTTGCTGGGGACCATGACAGAACCCTGAAGGAACCAACTGAGCAGGTGAGAAATGTTTCTAAGGACAATTCTGCTGGTGTTCTAAGTGTTGTCACATGCCGGGGAATGCCTTTAGCTAAAATACATAATTAAGTATTCATCTCCTAGTGCCCCTTTACACTTACTATTTATACCAACATTTAAAGATAAATTCTGAGATCACAGTTTAATCAGAGAATTAAGGGAGGTAGATCAGGATGTGCCAGTTCAGGTCTGTGTACACAGGTGCACATAGTCTGGTTTCTCCAGAACTGCCAATCCTCAGAGAGTGGTTCATGGCCTCCTGCAAATTATAAACAGGGATTGCCCTTTTAAATTCAGTACAGAGTCACCTTCGTTGCTGATGTATGGAAATATAGAGATTTAAGGTTTATTTTGGATGACTATGCAAGGAAGTAGTTTGACTCATTGACGCCATCTCGTAATTGGCTTACTCGCCACTGATCCAGGTGAGGAGGGTAAAACGCATCGTGGTGCACGAAGACTTCGATAGATGGAGCGCTGACTCGGACATCGCCCTGATACAGCTGAGCTCTCCTCTGAAGTTCAACTCCATCGTGAGGCCGGTGTGTCTCCCACAAAGCACGGAGCCGCTCCTTTCCTCAGAGATTTGTGCTGTGACTGGATTGGGAAGCGTTAGTGAAAGTAAACGTTTTTGCTTTTGCACACACATGATGGCCAGTTGTTAATTTTGCAGATTTAGCACGCAGATGATATCCAGCAGTATCTGCTTTAGCCCTTCTGCCTTCTGAAAGCTAGAACCCATGTTTGATTTAGTTGTAAGTGATCAGCCTATAATTAGGGTGACTAGTTATAGGTAGGTTAGATCTGGGAAGGGCCAAATCATAAGTCTTTTCGTCTTTGCAAGCCATATGTTCTCTGTCTCGACTATTCAGTTCTGCTGTTATGGTGCAAATCAGCCACAGACATACGAATGTAACAGAAAGGATTGTGTTCCAGTAGTTTATTTATGAAACTTAAATTTCATATATTGTTCATGTGTCAAAAAATATTCTTTTGGATTTAAAAAAAAACCATTTAAAAGTGTACAAACCAGGGGTGCCTGGCTGGCTCAGTTGGTTAAGCGACTGACTTCGGCTCAGGTCATGATCCCAGGGTCCTGGGATCGAGCCCCACGTCGGGCTCCCTGCTCAGCGGGAGAGTCATCCCTCTCTCGCTGTGTCTCTCTTTCTGTCAAATAAATAAAATCTTAAAAAAAAATAAAAAATAAAGTGTACAAACCAAATGAGTTCCCAGATTGTACTAGGTAAGCCCAGGGATGGCACAGAACTGGCCCCCTGGCTGTGGTTTGCTGACCCCTGGGCTGGGTGGTAGAGTTCTTAGAGCCATAGCAACGTACTGACAGATCTGAATGGGTTCATGTTTGCGTTTTGCCTCTTTTCACTGTATAACGTCATTTTCTTTTATGTTTTCCTTCTGTTTCTATGTCCTTTATTTGGAATCTGCGAGCTTGGGGAGAGGGGAGTTTATCTTTGTGTATAGTGTACATGATCATAGCTTTCTGTACGACCTGTGGCCAAATTGCATTTCTTTTTTTTTTTTTTTTAAAGAATTTATTTATTTATTTGACAGAGAGAGACACAGCGAGAGCAGGAACACAAGCAGGGGGAGTGGGAGAGGGAGAAGCAAACTCCTCCCCGAGCAGGGAGCCCAATGCGGGGCTCGATCCCACGACTCCAGGATCATGACCTGAGCCGAAGGCAGATGCTTTATGACTGAGCCACCCAGGCGCCCCAAACTGCATTTTCCTAAAATGTGCACAACACCATATGAGGAGATTTTATCCTCCCCATGTTGTAAATGAGGACATTATGGCTCAAAGATTTAAGTAACTTGCCAAGATCCCATAACTAATAAATATCAAAGCTAGGATTTAAAATTAGCCTGGTTCTGCTGATAATCTTCGAATGGCTTTTTTTTTTTTTTTTTTACATTTAGAATAAAATCTGAACTGCTAGTCTGGCTTGGAAAACTCTATGTGATTTGGCCTCCACTTACCTCTCCAACTTCTTTTCTTCCCTTGTCCCCTTCAGGCATTGTGGTCTTCTTTCTTTCTCTTAAACACAAGACCTGTTCTGCTTTCTGAAGCTTGGAATACCTTTGCTCTTCTCCCAGCTGCCTCCTCCTCATTCAGCTCGCAGCTCAAACAGCACTCCTTCCTCCATCACTTTGCTGCTTCAGGACTGCCCTTCCATCACTCTCTGCATGACCCAGTTTTATCATCTCCTCACACACAAATGTACTTGACATGCTCCAGGACGCCTGGGTGGCGCAGTCGGTGAAGCGGCTGACTCTTGGTTTTGGCTCAGGTCATGATCTCAGGGTCCTGGGATCGAGCCCCATATTGAGCTCTGCACTCGGTGGGGAGTCTGCTTGAGATTCTCTCTCTCTCTCTCTCTATCCCTCTGCCCTGCCACCCCCACTCACATGCTCTTGCTCACACACTCTCTCAAATAAATAAATTTTAAAAATCTTTAAAAAAGAAAAAACATTCTCCGGGTCTCATGCATTAAAGTGGAAACCTTGTGGCAGCAGGTCTCTAATTCACCACTCTGCCCCAGAGCTACAGGTTTACCTGGCATAGAATAAACACTCAGCAAATATTTTCTTACTGGCTTCCAAGCCCTTGAATAAATGTACCCATTCTCTGATACCCTCAACTGTCACCACCTCCATGACCACCAGGTAACTGAGAGGTGGTTACAGTCTTGTGGAAGATGAATTCATTCTTCCAACCTGAGAGAAAATGAGTTCTTTAAGACATGGTAAAGAATGGGGGTGGAGATGGTCCCTAAAAAGAGGATTTTAAATGCCTTAAATGTATTTATGTATTAGATGGGTACATTAAAACGAGCACAAACTTGAGTCCGGTCTTGGCTTAATGGCTAGTTCTGTCCCACGGGTGCTGTGAGATCAGATTTTGGGAGCTCTGACTTTTTCGTGAGTGAGTTCTGTGTGATCATGTATGCAAACAACCCACCTCACGATGTTATATGATTGGGTTGGAGTTATATGAAAGTACTATATAAATGTAAGGTAATTTCTAGTACTAATCTTAGCTTTTTTTTTTTTAGTTAGTCAGGAATCCAAAATGATAGAATGAGTTGTGCAGAATACATGTTAACATGGGCCTGCCTGAGGGTCAGTTATGAGTGTTTTAGTGCTCATTGTTAGCCTTACGGCCTTCACTGTTAGTCCTTATAAATTGGAATTGAGATTAGTCTCAGTGATGATTAAGCAAAAAGGAATATGATTTTGGTTTATATTAGGAAATCATATAAACATGTCACATAATATATTTTATATATAAATATACTATGTAAAAACATAATCATAAATCCTGTACAATACCAATTCATATCTTGCTGAATTTTTCTTTCTGAATTCTTATGTAGTGATATTTGAAACACTAAATTTTGAATAAAAAATAAGCTAGAAAAAAAATGTTTCTGGTGTTGTTCTCCTGACAATGTATTCTTTTACGAAGATGTCACACTTGAAAATGAAGACATCCCGTATGAGACACTTACACTGTTTGGTTCAGTATTCCTCATCAGCTCAGGTGAACCTGAGTGAAGGCAAATATAGTAGTGCAGAGCAAGTCTGAACTTAAATATGTTTTTTCACATAATTTGTTATTTACTTCTTTATGAAGCTGTCTTTCTGGATCTGTTTCTTCAGCAGATGGCGGCTTAACAAGGCGCTTCCAGCAGATTCGGGTATCCATGTTGGAAAGTGAGGGGAGGGAACGTACTTACTCCTCTCACCCAGGAGGGCTCACGGAGAAGATGATGTGTGCTGGCTTTGCAGACTCTGGAGGGAAAGATTTCTGTCAGGTGAGAAGACTCTGATTTTGCAGAGGAAGATCCAAGGTCGTCATCTGCTGGAGATTCTCCTTAGACAGGAGGAGACACTCAGAGGCACAGGTAACCTGGTAGCCCCACAGCACGCCCTTCCCGGAAGGCCAGTGGGACAACGGGAAGAGTGAATGCTTTACTCCAAACCTGCTGAGAGGGCGGGAGCAGCCTAGGGGCAGAAGAGCAGGTGGCGACTAGGAGCCCATGAGCACGTAGGGCCTCAGAGAGACGCAAGGCTTTGGGAAAAGAGGAACAAGCAAAGAAGGATTCTAAGTGGGTGTATCCTCCTGATGACTTAAGGTTTTTATTGTTTTTAAATTAATATTAATCTCCTCTGTGCTCACATTTAATTTTCTACTACAGATTAAAATAAAATAATCATGAAGAAAATGAGAAACTTTGAAAAGCTGGTTTGCATATGCAGTGGAAAATAAATCCCAAAACAGTAGTTTAATTTCAGATATTTAGAGGCAAAAGTGGTATAGTTATATTCACGTGTCAGTTGGACAAGCGTGCTATTAACAAGTTCAAATCAGGCAAGGGGAAGACAGAATGCGGACGAATGGATCGTAAAACACCAGCTTTCATATGCACAAAGCCAAGTGAGGAATATAACCTTAGATACACAACCAAAAAGGGTCTCTGATGCTCTGTAACCCTCCTTCAAGAGTTAGTCTGGATTTGAGGCAGCCTACTGATGGAATTGTTTGGGTCTTCGGGGCAGATGCCCTTCTCCGAGTTTATCATCTCCTGCCGGTCTGGAATACAGAGGGAAGAAAGGATGAATCTAGTCTGTGCTGCTTTTTGATCGTTTTCCCCTTAATCAAGAACTAAGAACCCATGGAGAAAACTGGGTGTTAATCTAGGTAGAAGTCCTTCCATGAGAGCATGTGAGGAGAGAAGGAAGGAGGTCCCCTCTTAACACTGAGTATCTGTTTATGGTGATTAAACCCTTTCCTGGTGTCAAGCACTACTCAAATTCTGTTTTCTTTATTTGAATTTGCATTCCCCAGAAGCTGACCTTGAGACAAAGATTCAAGTACGATGGTCTGCTTAGGAAGTGCAGACATCGCTGGTAGGAAGGTCAGGAGGGTGGTCTAGGGAAGGGAAGGCAGGAAATGCGAGATGTGCTATGAAGTCAGCTACCACAGTCTGCGGACTGAGCTGAATCCGGCAGCAATGCAAAATATATGCAACGTATTTGTCCCATCCCAGGGGTGAGGGAGCTGGGATATTTATATACTACTTCCCCAAAGTCATGGTTCGAGGGCTGCTGGAGGGGAGGGGTCTGTTGGTCCCTTTGCAGTTTCCACTCTTCCGGTGTGCCTCGTGGATGGGGTGGGGGAGGGGAAGAGCCCTCAGGCACAGAGCCAGGATGTGGCCTGGAAGACTTGAGGAATCTAGGAAGGGCGCTCACACCATCTGCTAAAGGACATAAATGCTATACTATAAATATCAAATAGAAAAGTGCTCTGAATTAATGTGGTCATTCCTCACCTTTTGAGGGATGGTTTTTCTCTCTGCTTCGAATCAAGGAAATCACAGATGGCTCTGTTGTCTCTGTCATGTTTGACAGCATCTGACATTAAGGGAACACCTTACTCTGTATGAAGAGAGCAGAGGGGAATTAGGGAAGGAATTAGGTCCATGACAGAGGTATGATCTTGGTGGGCATTTATTTCAACTACATCCCTTGCAGCACAACCAAATTTGCTGCCAATACGAAGGGAGGAAAATAGGAGTTGAGATTCTGGCTAATAAATGTGTCTAGCTAAAGAACACTGAATTACTAACAAGGTGACTTCAGAAACTTTGATAAAGTGGACTCTAGTATTTCTATCAGGTAGTTGATTTTTACCCTCCTTTGTGTGCTCAGAAGTAATGGACCTGCTAATGTAATTTCTCACCCAGGAAGGTGAAGTAGAATGTTGGAATGCAGAGATGGAGTTTCAGAGATGCAGTGCAGAATCCTATGCTGCTTTGCTCACAACACATCCTAGATTGTTTTTAAAATGTCAAATTCTTTGACCTACAGGGTGATCTCTGTCTTCACAGAGTAGTGTATGTCCTGTTCATGCTGACTTTTGCAATCTATTTCATACTTCTCTCCTCTTGCTTATATATTTCAGCCACACTGATTATTTTCTGACCATACAAGTCACTACATCCTGCCTAATTTGGAGCCTTAGCCCAGATATCAATTCTGCATAAAATGCTATTCCTCCTGGCTTTAGAAAACCCACCTCCTTCTCATCTTTCATGTATCAGATCAAATGTTATTGAAACTACATACACTTACACGAGCGTGTAAGCACACACAACTACCTCCCTTTATTCTCTGCTTTTCGCTCTAAATATTTTCTTTAGAGCTATTATCACCATCTAATTTGTTTATACTTTGTCTTGCTCAAAATGCCTAGCTCACAGTAGGCACTGAATAATTCTTTAAAAATAAATAGGTATCATTTGCTTATTGAGTATTTACCACATGCTAGGCCCTATGATAGACCCTGGCAATAGTAGATGAATTAGGCTCTTTCTGAATCATGAAATGTTTGTAATTGCAAGAAAAATTCTTTATTTGGTGCGTGTTGGTACTGAGTGAATAAGTAATTTAAAGAAAAAACAAACCTGACTTGATACATCAGACCACTTACAAACTGGGAAGAGGTCTTAAAGTATAACCTTATTTCATATGGAAAAAAAAATTAGGCCCAGAGAAAATGTTAATTGTTCTACATTACAGACAAGGGAATCTATCTCCCTATTCCCACGTTAGGATTTCTTCTGTGAAATTCTTCGTATAAAATAAACAGCCACATCGGGGCACCTGGGTGGCTCAGATGGTTGAGCGTCTGCCTTCAGCTCGGGTCATGGTCCCGGGGTCCTGGGATTGAGCCCTGCATCGGGCTCCCTGCTGGGCAGGGAGCCTGCTTCTCCCTCTGCCTCTGCCTCTCTCTCTCTCTCTCTCTGACTCTCATGAATAAATAAATAAAACATTTAAAAAAAATAAAAAATAAAAAAACCATTAAAAAAAATAAACAGCCACATCAAATATATCGTAAGCTCAGTTTATTTTATCAGAAGACAAAGGATTTAGTTTGATTCTAAGTACATTTCTGTCAAAGAAAAAAGGGGCAGATTGAAAATCAGAAAGGTTACTTTAAAAGGCAAATCCTATGCTTTAAGGCTTTTTTTTTTACAGATCTATTGAGCTATAATTGACATACAACATTGTGTAAGTTTCAGATGTACAGTGTAATGATTTGATGCACTTGTATATTGTGAATGCTTACCACAGTAGAGTTAGTCTACACCTCCATCACCTCATATAATTACCATTTCTTTCTTGTGGTAAGAGTACTTAAGATTACTTTCTTAGCAACTTTTAAATATCTAATATAGTATTGTTGGCCATAGTAACCATGTTGTACATTAGATCCCCAGAATTGTCCACCTTGTAACTGGAAATTTGTACCTTTTGACCAAGATCTCCCCCATTTTCCCCACCCTCCCCCAGCCTCTGGTAACTATCCTTCTACTCTGTTTCTCTGAGTTCAGCTTTTTTAGATTCCATGAATAAGTGATATCATACAATATTTGTCTTTTGCCGTCTGACTTTTCACTTAGCACAATGTCCTCAAGACCATCCATGTTGTCACAAATGGAAGGATTCCTTTTATTCTCATGGCTGAGTAATATATATGTTATATTTTTTATCCATCCTTTGGCAGATAAATAGGTTGTTTTCATATTTCTGCTATAGTGAATAAAGCTGCAATATATATGGGAGTGCAGATACCTCTTTGATAACCTGTTTTTATTCCCTTTGGGTATATACCCAGAAGTGGATCAAATAGTAGTTAATTTTTAATTTTTTTTTAATTTTTTTAAAGATTTATTTATTTGAGAGAGCAAGAATGAGAGAGAGAGAGTACATGAGAAGGGGGAGGGTCAGAGGGAGAAGCAGGCTCCCTGCTGAGCAGGGAGCCCGATGTGGGACTCGATCCCGGGATTCCGGGATCATGACCTGAGCCGAAGACAGTCGCTTAACCAACTGAGCCACCCAGACGCCCAATTTTTAATTTTTTAAGGAACGTTTATTTTATTGTCCATAGTGATGCACCAATCTGCATTCCTACCAACAAGTGCAAAAGGGTTCTCCTTTTTCCACATCCTTGCCAGTATTTTTTATGTCTTTCTGGTATCTATTCTAACAAGTGTGAAGTGGTATCTCATTACAGTTTTGATTTGTATTTCCCTGATGATCAGTGAAGTTGAGCATCTTTTCATGTACCTGTACCCATCTGTATGTCTTCTTTGGAAAAATGTCTATTCAGATCCTCCGCCCATTTTTTAGGTTGCATCGTTTTTGTTATCAATTTGTATGAGTTGTTTATATATTTTGGGTATTAACCCTTTATCAGATATGTGGTTTGCAAACATTTTCTCCCATCCCGTAGCTTGCCTTTCCATTTTGCTGATTGTTTCTTCTGATGTGTAGAAGCATTTTAGTTTCATGTGGTTCCACTTAAATGATTCTTTCTTTTGTTGCTTGTGCTTTTGGTTTCATAGCCACCCCCCCACAAAAAAATTGTTGCCAAGATGAATCAATGTCAGGGAGCTTTTTCCCTGTGTTTTCTCCCCCCACCCCGTGTTTTCTTCTAGGAGTTCTACAGTTTGTAGCCTTATATTTAAACCTTTAATCTGTTTCAAGTTAATTTTTTTGTGAGTGTTATTAAATAGGGTTCAATTCCATTCTTCTTATGGTTGTCCAGTTTTCCCAACATCATTTGTTGAAGAGATTATCCTTTCCCCATTGAGTATTCTTTGCTCCTTTGTCAAATATTAGTTGATTGTATATGTGAGGGTTTTTCTAGGCTCATGATTCTAGCCCAGTTGTCTATGTGTCTGTTTTTATGCCAGTACATGCTGTGTTGACTATTACAGATTTGTAACGTATTTTGAAATCAGGAAATGTGATGCCTCCAGCTTTGTTCTTTCTCAGGATTGCTTTGGCTATTTAGGGTCTTTGAGGGGGGCCCATATGAATTTTAGGATTGTTTTTCCTATTTCTATGAAAAATGCAATTGGAATTTTGAAATGGACTGCGTTGAATCTATAGGTGGCTTTGTAGAGTATGGACACAATATTGATTCTTCTGATCTGTGAACATGGGATTATGTTTTCCATATTTGTCTTCATCAATTTCTTTCATCAAAGTCTTACAGTTTTTAGTATAGAGATCTTTCACCTTTTTGGTTAACTTTATTCCTAAGTATTTTATTTTTTGGTGCTTTTGTATATAGGATTGTTTTCTTTATTTTTTATTCTTTTTTTCAAGTTTTTATCTAAATTCCAGTTAACCTACAGTGTGATATTAGTATCAGGTGTAAAATTTAGTGATTCAGTACTTACATACAACACCTGGTGCTCATCACAAATGCCTTCCTTAATCCTGTTTATTTCTTTTTCATATATTTTTTTGTTAGTGTATAAAGACACAACTGGTTTCTGTATGTTTGCTCTGTATCCTGAAACTTAACAGTACTCATTGATTAGTTCTAACAGCTTTTTTGTTTTGTTTTTAGTTCTAACAGTTTTTTGATGGAGTCTTTAGGATTTTCTTAGACCATATCATCTACAGATAAAGACAGTTTTACTTCTCCCTCCTTGATTTACTCCTTTCTTTTTATTTCTTTTTCTTGCCTGATTGCCCTGGCTAAGACTTCCAATACTATATTGAATAGGAATGGTGAGAGTGGGCACCCTTGTTTTGTTTCTGATCTTACAGGAAAAGCTTTCAACCTGTCACTATTGAGTATGATGTTAGCTATGGGTTTGTTAGATATGACCTTTATTATGTTGAGATATGTTCTGTCTATATCCAATTTGTTAAGAGTTTTTATCATGAGAGGATGCTGCACTTTGTCAAATACATTTACTATTCAGACAATAATATGAATTTTAAACTTTCATTCCATTAATGTGGTGTATCATATTCATTGATCTGTGTATGTTGAACTATCCTTGTATCACTGGAATAAATCCCACTTGATCATAGTGTATGATCCTTTTAATGTGCTGTTGAGTTCAGTTTGCTAGTATTTTGTTGAGGATTTTTACATCTATGTTCATCAGGGATATTGGCCTCTAGTTTTCTTTTCTTGTGATGTCCTTATCTGGCTTTGGTATCAGGGTAATTCTGACCTTATCTAATGAGTTTTAGAGTGTTCCCTCCTCTTCAATTTTTGGGAAGAGTTTGAGGAATGAAATTAATTCTTTAAATGTTTAGTAGAATTCACCAGTGAAGCCATCTGGTCCTGAGCTTTTCTTTATTGAGATGTTTTTGAATAGTGATTCAATCTCCTTGCTCATATTGGTCTGTTCTGATTCTCTGTTTCCTCATGATTTGGTCTTGGCAGTTTGTATGTTTCTAGGAATTTATTTCTTCCAGGTTATCCAATTTTTTGGTGTATAATTATTCATAGTAGTCCCATGATGCTTTGTATTTCTGTGGTATCAGTTGTAATATCTTTGTGATTTTATTTATTTGAGTTTAAGTACTCTAAGGTATATGAATTGACAAAGTATTAATATTTTTAAATTAAAGAAATGTGTTACGAATAAATTATTGATTATTCCTGTGCCAAAATTGAAAGCAGGAGCTCTGATTAAAGTAAATTTTTAGAACACATTTTCTTGATCTTTCAGGGAGACTCTGGTGGCCCATTGGTATGTAGACATGAAAAAGTTCCCTTTGTCTTGTATGGCATTGCCGGCTGGGGAGCTGGCTGTGCCCAGCCAAGGAAGCCAGGTGTATTTGCCAGGGCGAGTGTCTTCTTGGACTGGATCCAATCCAAAATCAAAATATTTTTCAGATATTATGAAGACAATTCCTCTTTCTTTAGGTTTGCGAGAAGTGAGTGTGGTAGAAATCAGCATTATGAAAGGAAAAAACCAGAGTAGTATTTCATTTATTTTAGTTTCTAAAACATTAAAATGCTCATTAAAATTCTGTAAGAATACGTTCTCCCTTGGGTAGAGTGAGAGTAAAACTGACTTTTCCTGGGGCTGCTGTAATCCTAGATTTGCATTTTCTTTTGACAAAAGCTGTTTTGGTATAGACTACATTTTGTTTCGAGGTTTTCATCTTTATTTATTTTTAATATGGTCTCTCCAGGTGCAGGTCCTGCTTCACTTCAGATAAATAATGAAAGCAAAATCTTACCAAGACAACAGTTGCCACCACCCACACCCTCAACAGACAATGCATCTGGACCAGGTAATAGATGTTTGTGTTATCCGCTTAATGCAGCTAGTAAGAATTTAGCAAAAGCATGGCATGTCTGGGTTCGCTGATTTTCTTTGGAATGGGATAAGCCCTGTGTTTTCATTCTGGATGGTAGTTTAAACTGAGGAAGGGGAGTGTTGTTACTGTGACCGTCTGGGTTTCTTTTCTACCCCCACAGATATAGCCATTGTAGGTTAAAAAAAAAAAATCTTGTCGTTGTGAAATGCTTGAATTTTGGAGGAGTACATAGAAAGAATTATTCTGACCTCTGATCCATTTATTCCTACATAAACAAAGGTCCTTAGATTTTCAGGTATCTCGCTAGGTGAGGACTCTGGATACGAGAGAACCACAATCAGCATCAGTGTTAGTCACTCATGATTCCCCCACAATTGTCAGTGTCTGTTTGCTAATGGGATTTTTATTTTTTGTTAAAATCAGACTGCAACTGGAGAATTAGAAGTCTGTAATAGACCTGTAGGGATATGAAAATTCTATGATGCCATCATTCTTGGTTTCCAGGTGGTCACAGTCTCTTCGTTCTCACCCATCTCTGCCCCCATCCACCCCACATACAGTCAAGGCCAGTAGACAACTAGAAAGAGGTGGGGGAAGATTGAAGAGGATAAAAGAGACGGGGTGAATTGCTAGAGTGATGACCTTCAGTAGGAGAGAGGGGATGAGATCTTGTGCTCAGCAGGAGGGGTTGGTCTCAGAAAGGAGCAAAGTGTGTACATCCATAGTTACTGGATGGGCGGCAGAATATTTATGCTGGCATATGGGTACATGTGGTGATGGGAGTTTCTGGCAATTTTCTAATTGCTTCTATGTACTTAGCAGATGAAGCAGGGTTGAGGAAGAGGGCTTGGGGGTTTTCAGAGAAAAAGAAAGTATGAAATAGTTCTCTAAAAAAGTGACAAAGTGCATGGACTAGTAGAATGTAGTAGGATTGCTGGGCAACATAAAAGCCTCTGAGATTAATGATCACAAATTTAGAGGGAGACTGACCAGTTAGCTTAGTTGTATGTTTTCTTCTGGAGACACTGAGGGGTAGCACATAGATGCAGAACAGATAGAAGGTAGATTCAATCAGAATGGGTTTTCCCAAGTACACAAGATTATAAGGGTATTGAAAGCATGTAAGATGAAGGGATTAAAATGATGTATTGTTGGAATTTAAGCTAGGAAAAGAGTGAATGAGGGTGAGAGATGAGTTAGGGACAAAGAACAGGTGGTTGGATAGATGACTAGCAAGTCTCAAAAGGTGAAAGGAGCATTGGAGGGAGCTGAGAAGATGGAAGATTGTGGATGGAGACAGCAGTGCTTGAAACGGAGCTATGGAAGGCTTGGTGTTATTGCTGGGGGCCAGGTCCTGAGGGGTTCACTGCGGGGGTGGGTGGCTGAAGTCGGGTGGAGAACAAGATCATTGGAAGGAAGTTGAGAAATTGAGAAGCCTCAGTGATGGGCTCATCATCTCTATGGCTACTGAAATCAGCAGGATTTGTGGCAGAAATAGTGTTGGAGAAAATGACTGCTAAAATCTTCTAGGAATAAGAAGGGGTAATTCGGGGACCATTTGTGGGTGGTATGGTCTGAAAACATAAGAATCAAAGGGTCCTATTTGATTAAAAGTGAATCTGGAATTGGGGTTGAGATGGAGCGCAGACGTAGGTCCAAGATCTTAAAACCTAATGATTTCGATGGTTTGAATTAAATGAACAATTTTAATTAGTGCATAAGTAAGTGAATTCATGTCAAGCACTTAAAATAGAGAAGGCACGATGAATGACAATAGTCAACAAGTGGTGGCCAGCAGTGACCAACTAATGTATTCCTTGAATTGCTGTTCCATTCAGGCTATAGAAAATGAACACCATTTTTTTTTAAGATTTTTATTTATTTGAGAGAGCGAGAATGAGAGATAGAGAGAGCACATGAGAGGGGGGAGGGCTGGAGGGAGAAGCAGACTCCCCGCTGAGCAGGGAGCCCGATGCGGGACTCGATCCCGGGACTCCAGGATCATGACCTGAGCCGAAGGCCGTCGCCTAACCGACTGAGCCACCCAGGTGCCCTCAACACCATTTTAATAGTGTAACTGGAGATGTTTCTCATTTGTGTATGTTCACAAATACATGTGAATGCCAGAGAACTTTGCAAGTTTCACATGGGAAAGGGTATTGTTTTGTTTTAATTCTGGGAATATTCTATAAGAGAAAATGTTGGGACTATCCTCTGTCTTTAGCATCCACCCACTCCCATCACTGGCTTTTTACACATGAGGATTGTTAGCCCATTTATAAAAAGAAGTGACTGGTTGGGAGTTCATGACTTTACATGATTTGGTTCATTTTCTAGGCAGATTTGTCATAGAGGATTCATGGGGACAGGAAAAAAAATGATTGAAAAGACATTTGGGCCCAGACTCACAATTTCAGTTGTTTTGAGCAAGGAAAGAATTTAATTCTCTTGTTTCATATGCTATCCCAGATTGGAGGGCACAGCATGGGGGAAGATTAGAGACTGGGAAATCAGTTAGGTTACTGTTAAATCAAAGTAGATCTATAAATATCTAAATTAGATTATAGTAGCCATCTAAATGAAAGAGAGAATTTGCAAAGAGGTAACAGGACTAGGCAATTGAATAGAATCCTGAATTCTTACAACATTTCATTTCCCTTCTTCACCTTCTGCCACTCTTCATTTCTACTCTTCATGAAAGTATATTTATGTATGTGTCACCTGAGGTCGTTAATTGCTCTATGGCAAAGCATATATAATAATGCATGTATTAATTCATACTCAGACATTAAAATGTGTTCATTTGAATACAGAGTATTTCAATTTGTAATTGCTCAGAGGATTTTTGTCGAGGGAATACACAGAGGGGAAGGAGGAGGAGTTGAGGGTGTAAGCTGAAGGAACAGCAGCTAACTGCAGGGCTAGTGGACCAGAGAGCCCCTGGCATCTGAAGCTCTGCAGGTAGCCTTGCAGGTCCAAAGGTGCCCTTGGACTTAAGAGCAAGTGGAAGAAGTGAGAGACATTCAAATGTATGCAGCACATCCTCCTTTTTTTGATCTCAGTCACGAATTCCACGACTGTAATCATTTGTCCCAGCAAGATACATGCTCAGTGAAATTAGTGAAGCTTTTAGGAACAGACCTTCAGTAGCATCTCAAAGAAGGAAGGAAATGAAAGCATTGCGGGAAGTAGAGAGTGCATTCCCACTGTGCATCTCCTAAGGCATTTAAAAGATTCAGTGAAAAGAAATTTTAAATAATGATAATTTAAATTCTACTCTTACAACCTCATTTCAGGAAAATAGGACACATTAAATGGGATGATCATTTTTACCCAAGGACATGTAACAGAGAGTAATAAAGTTTTAATTTTCTTCTTGCAAGCCTAAATTTTTCAAGTTTGTGATAGATCCGCGCTTTGCTTTATTCATGTTGGTCCCTGGTGTCTGTGTGCTCTGAATTGTAGGTTGTTACTCTGAGGTGGAACTAGAAGAGCCCAGAGGCTTTTTCTCAACTCCAGGATATCCACTGGATTATAGAGGAGAACTGGAATGTTCTTGGGTGCTCAGAGTGTCCCCGAACAGTATGGCAAAATTGACGGTTGAGTACCTGTCACTGCCTTGGTCTCCTGTGTGTCCGGATTCAGTAATGACTATTTACGAAGAAAGCCATGATGAGAGAAGGGTGTCAGGTAATTCTTGCTGGCATTTCAACCCTGTGCTGGGAGCCTTTTCTGTATAGGCAGCTTACAATCACGAGAGAGCTTGACTTGGGTACCACTATCACCAAAGTGTTGATTCATGTAATAGGCATGGCTTTCTTTCTTTCTTTCTTTTTTTTAAGGCACACTTAATAGTTTCAAAACTTGAATTTACAAAACAGGTGTACTAGAGGTTGAGTGTGAGTGTGTGAGAGCTCAAGTTCTTCAAGCATACCAGAACCATGCCAGGATGCCTGAAATGTATCCGATAGAGGAGTTAATTAAGATGGTTAAAAATCAGATGGGGGGTGGGTGTTGGATTTTAAAATAAAGCAAAATATATTAAAGGCTTTTACAATGGAAGAATTAAAAATATTTGCTAATAACATGCCAGTGTGCGTGTGCTGGATTCGGGAATGTATGGAGGCCAGGGAGGTGCTCTTGAGGGGGAGATTGTGTTCTTGGGATAAATTCTGAGATTAAAGCATTGAGTTAGAGGACATAAACATTTATTTAAAGAATCTTTATAAATACTGTCTCATATAGGGGCACCTGGGTGGCTCAGTTGGTTAAGCATCTGCCTTGTCATGATCCCAGGGTCCCAGGATTGAGTCCTGGGCTCCCTGCTCAGCGGGGAGTCTGCTTCTCTGTCTGCCCCTCCACCTGCTCTCATGCTCTCTTTCTCTCTCAAATAAATAAGTAAAATCTTTTTAAAAAATACTGTCTCACTTAGACCATGGAACAAAGCTATTAATAATCTGGCCTATCCACTTTGTACATTTTTCTTCTGCGATCAGATGGCCTTCCCCATCTACCTTGATCAAAACAGCTCCAGGTCTTCTTGTAGCTGGAATAAAATTCAAAATCCCTAGCACGACCTTCCGTCCCCCTCCCTGACTCACATGATCAGGAGCTGTCATTCTCACCTCAGGGCCCTTGTCCCGCTCTTCGACCTAGCTCTTCAGAGAGCTCCTTCTCGACCTGTCCCTCACCTCCCTCAAGGCTTGACTAGATGTCACCTTCTTAACGAGGCCTACCTTAATTGCTGTCAACTGCATCACCTCCTGGCTGGGTAGTTCTTCGTGCCTTGCCCTTTTCTTTAGCACTTACTATTTTCCAACATTATGACTTTTTTTCATGGTTGTGGATTGTGTTTTCTCTATTGAATGTGAGCTTTCGGAGGGCTAAAACTTCCATTTCCTCATTTGAAGACTCTCCAGGGTCTAGAATAGTATGTGAGACTTAGAAGGCACTCAATGAGTGAGTGAATGAATGATAGGTCACCTCCTCAAAGAGGACTTCTCAGTCTAAAATAGCGCCATTCATTCCCTCCCAAAGTCTTTTTCATCATATTATGTGGATTATTTCACTTGTAGCCTTGATCTCTATTTGAAATCATCTTCTTTATTTACCTGGCTAAAATAAAAGATTCATGGAAGCAGGGATCTTGCTATTTTGTCCCTTACTGTATCTTCCCAAATTAGAATCATGCTTAGAGACATAGCATAATTTTTTTCACAAGTGTATACTGATAAATTACTCTTTAGAAAAGCTAAATCAGTTTCCACTGCCATCAGCAAAAATGGGAGCCTCTTGCACCATGAGTATAACTGAATAACATCAGTTTGATAGGCACTTTTACTTTTTTAATCATTAATGAATTTTTTTCATATGTTGGTTAGCTATTTGTATTTTTTATTTCTTGTCACTACCATCCATTTTCTGAGTATTTTTATTGGTTTATAAAAGCTGTTATATGTATATTTTCCTTTGTCATTAGTTGCAAGTATTTATTCATAAAGTTGCTATTTTCCTTTCATTTTTTTGAAGATTTTATTTATTTATTTATTTATTTATTTATTTATTTATTTGAGAGAGAGAGTGCTCGTGAGTGAGGGGAAGGGCAGAGAGGAATGGAAAGGGAGAGAGAAAGGAGATTCCCCGCTAAGCATGGAGCTTGACACAGGGCTTGATTTCATGACCCTGAGATCATGACCTAAAGCCAAAACCAAGAGTCGGACGCTTAACCGACTGAGCCACTCAGGCGCATCTTTAATTTTTATTATATGTTGATGTAAACATTTAAAAAGTTGTTTAAATCTGTCTATAAACATCTTTGATCTTTGATTTATCTCATTGCTTTTTAAATATTGTTCAATCTGAGTTCAAGAAAAAAATTTAATTCAAACTTCTTTAATCCTGCTGAAATGTTTTTTCTTATATGGTAAAGTGATGTTTGTATCTTTTGCTTTAAGAAAAAAATGATTTTCTTTCCAACTTGTAGCACTGTATTATATACTAGATTCTCATCTAAAAAGAAACATTTTCTGGGAAAACTTACCTTTATCTTTATAACCTATTGAAAACCATGCTTGGCTATGTTGTGGATTAACTGAAGAATCCCTATAATTTTCCAATGTAGCATTTATTTGATTTGAAATTGTCAGCTTGAACCTCGTAGAATGGTTCTATGTCTTCAGATGATAGGTAGGAGAACTGCAAGACCATAATGGAGGTATTACCCCTTATTCAAGCCAGATAGTGTTCTTCTATACTGTAAAATGCCATCTTTTACCCTGTGGGAGCCAGCAACTCACTCATTCAACAGCTGCATTGATCTATACTTGTTACAAATAAGTATTTGATCATTTCTCAAATAATATTTTGGGGCGCCTGGGTGGGTCAGTCATTAAGCATCTACCTTCGGCTCAGGTCATGATCCCAGGGTCCTGGGATCGAGCCCCGCATCAGGCTCCCTGCTCAGAAGGAAGCCTGCTTCTCCCTCTCCCGCTCCCCCTGCTTGTGTTCCTGCTCTCGCTGTCTCTCTCTCTGTCAAATAAATAAATACAATCTTTAAAAAGTAATAATAATATTTCAACAGCATTTACCCTAATGTGTCATGCCATCTAATATATTTTGTTCTTTTCTTCTTCTCAGATATAATCTCTTCCTTTTCTTGCTCCACAAATACTTGTAAGGAGGATCTACTGGGGACTAGAGACCCACTCTTCTTGTTTGTTGGGATTCAGTAGTGAGCAAAATGGACAAAAGAAATACCTGCCTTTATCAAGCTTATATTCCACTGGGGAGTGGACACATAATAAGAAAATAAAATATGCAGTGTATTAGGTAGATGAGCTATCGGGAAAATGAAGTGGGAAGGAAGAGAAGAATCTGGGATGTAGGTGTCATACGGCCAAACGTAGTATAACCAGCAAATGTCTTTCTGAGCAGGTGATATTTAAATAAATGTAGGATGATACTGACTTATTAAGAGTAGAGGAGTTTGATCCTAAGAAGATCACAGGTTCTTTTCACACCTTCTTAATCAGCCCTCTGAATTGTTTTAGAATTATGGTTATAATTTTCCCTTTCAGCTTTGACTCAGGTTCTCGACCTAAAGCAATCAAAAGAAGATTGACTGTAGAGAAAGAATAAATTTTCGGGTAGACGTTTTTCCACCATAGATTTTTCATAGTGTGATATTTTTAATAAGTACGTTACTTTACTAGAAGAAAAATGGCATATCAGCATCATTTTAAAGATGAAATAATTTACTTCCTACTGTCCTTCAAGGGATCAATAGGACATAGCAGACTATGATGAGTACTGGATTCATGGGCTTGGATTTAGATCCTGAGTCCCCACCCTACCAGTCTGACTTTGGGTGAGTCACTTGAGTTCTGGAGCCCTGTTTCCCTCATTTTGCAGAGTGAAATAAATTTCTCCCTCATGGGTATAAACTTTTAACTAGTAGACAAGTCCTGGAGATCCAATGCACACTATAGTGAATATAGTCAACATTTGTATTATAATCATCAAACTTGCTGAGGGACTAGATCTTAATTATTTTCACTACAAAAAAGAAATGGCAATTATGAGAGGTGATAGAAGCTAACTATCACTAGAATGGCAGTCCTATTACAATACATAAATGTATCAAATCAACATGGTGTACACTCTAAATTTATACAATGTTACATGTCAAATATATTTCACTAAAAATAATTGCTATACCTAAAGTAGAGAAACTGCTAAAACTTTTTTTAAATTCTTGTGTTTTACTAGATTTCATTTTTTAAACCTAGGTGAATTATGTGGAAGAGGGCTTTACCCAATGATTTTCATGAGCTCTGGACCACTGGTGAGAGTGGCATTTCGTTCCCTTGTGCAAGGTGCTTTGGGCATAAGTTATATTGTCTTTAGAGTCCAAGGTATACTTTGTCCTTTTATAAACTCATGAGGTTAAAAATCAATGTTTTTCTTTTTAGAGCTGTTTCAAAACATATACATTGTTTTGTAAGAAATGGTGTTTCTGTGCAGAGTTTACGTTTGAAAGGAAAATCTATTTAAGGGATCTGAGATTGGTCAGATTCAGAAGAGAAACTGCTCAGTGGATAACTTGATTGACTTGTAAATCATCCAGAATTGTGATTTCTGGATGTGGCTCCGATATGTTGATTTCAAGACAACATTTTTTATTGTGATGTGATTTTATGCCACAGACGGCCTATTCTGTGGATTAGAATGTAAGAGTTCTGTTAGCTGGTTGACTAGCTATGGATAATTTATTATCTCTGTATTAAAGTTTTCTTTATAGTGATATTATAACAATAAAAGGTTAGAATGAGTTTTTAAGTTAAACTACACAAATATTAGATGCTACCATTGTAAATGTAAATGCTATGCAATTCAGACTTATCAGATTGCATTTTAGAACAAGTAATTAATAAGGCTTTTTTTAAAGATTTTATGTATTTATTTATTTGTCAGAGAGAGCACACAGCAGGGGGGAGCAGGCAGAGGGTGAAGCAGGCCCCCTGGCTGAGCAAGCAGCCTGATGCAGGACTCGATCCCAGGACCCTGGGATCATCATGACCCGAGCCAAAGGCAGACACTTAACCGACTGAACCACCCAGGCGTTCCTTAATAAGGCTTTTTGACTTCATTAAGTATAGGTAACTGAAAGCTAATTTCTCTCCTTGGCACCAAAAAGCGTTGCAGAGATATACTTGGGGAAAAAAGTTCAGTGAGTAATAAAAAGAAGCGTGCATATCATATGAAAGCGTTTTCCTAAAAATACTATAAGAATGTTGCTTTTAGATTAAATTGTGCAGAGAACTGGCATTATCTATAGTTTTTCCACATTATCTTCTGTTGACTTGAGGCTGTGCCAGAGACAATTCTGAGAGAACTGCTGTTCTCTGTATCTCTGAATGATTCAGATAGAGACTTTTCAGTGAAAATAACCACTTCTGTTAACGTTTTTTCTAAAACAGGGAGGGAAAGTGACTTCTCTGATCCGAAAAGGCATATAATAAGCCTCTCAAAAATTAATTTTATTTTCATTGCCTTTTTTTTTTCTTTATTTTTAGGTCCAAAGGGCAGCAAAACTACCAAACTTCTCCAGAGTTCAAACCAAGAACGTACAGCCACTTGGGAGGATGTTATCCTGACTAAACCAGGAGGAATTATACAGATCCCAAGATACTCTCACAGAACTGTTATGAGGTGAGGAAGGAATGTTTATTATGATGAAAGAAGTTTGTGAATGATCCCTTGACTAGCAGCAACCCTTGCTTCAGGCATTATTTTCCACCTCCTCTCCTTGAAGAATATACTTTGAGGTAATCCCTGGTCTGAGGCCTTAAGTATACAAAAACTGAATGTAAGATTGTCCCTGTTGATAAATTGTGTACTTCCTCCACAAAAGAGATCATTTATTAGGTAAAGTAGAAAGTCAAATCTCTATCAAACAGTTTTAGAGTTTGAAATAATGTATGTAGATGGTCTTCTGGCACATATTAGGTACTCAATTAATTGTTCTTGAATTGCCAAAATAGAGAACTTTCCTCGAATTAAACAACAGAATAAATTTGAAGTGTGAAGTGAAAAGTGAAGATTTGTATAATATCAATCCTGAGTAGACTTATGTGATTTGAGGGAGTTTGGGGCAAATTCAGACAAATTGCCAACCAGAATTTAGAAGACTACGCGTGATTGACCAGCCATTCACCAGGACAGGTGAACTTAATTAAGACTCTTAACAAATTATTAGAAATATTTTTAACTGTTACAATTTAAAGTAAAAAAATCTTTCTTTCACCCAAGCACAAGGAAGCAGATAGCATCAATAACAGTGATGCATAAAATTCTGAACGAAGTTAATCACAGTATGTGCTATTTGGAAATCATTCCGGACTTTCTTTTATCTGTGCGATAGCTGCCACTGGAAGTTATCAGCCCCTTTACAGCACGTCATTCGCCTTGATATTATCAACTCCCAGGTGAAGCCGACGCCCTTGGCCTGTCAGGGTCACATGTGGGTTTATGAAGGATTTGGATCAGGCAAAAAATTAATAGGTAACTAATATCCCATGAAGAACTATGCTCTTGATTTTTTTTTTTAAAGATTTTATTTATTTGAGAGAGAGAATGAGAGAGAGAGAGAGAGAGAGCATGAGAGGGGGTTGGGTCAGAGGGAGAAGCACACTCCCTGCCGAGCAGGGAGCCCGATGTGGGACTCGATCCCGGGACTCCAGGATCATGACCTGAGCCGAAGGCAGTCGCTTAACCAACTGAGCCACCCAGGCACCCTATGCTCTTGATTTTTTAATGAAATATTCCCAGATTGTTTTGCATTCAATGTGACTTACAGATGATGTAAATTATGTGATACTGAAATAGCCTTACTAACACTCTCTCAGATTGAGTTAAAAACAAAACCCAACTATGTGCTGCTTACTTGGGTTATACCTAGATTAAACTTGCCCAGAAGTACTAAAAATAAAGAATGGATAAAGCAGTTTTAGACAAATGTAACACACAAAAAAATTGAGACTATTAATCAGGCAAAATAATATCCACCAGAAAGGGCATTAAATGGGCTAATTAATTAGTAGCTGGAAACCTCATTACATTGACTTAAATTGATTTTTATGAAAGAAAGAAAAATCCAGAGTTTTCCAGATGTGCCACAAACTCAGTAGTTCAACTCTGTCAAGATGAAGGTATGGCAGTTCTCTTGGCCTTTCCGTAATGTTTCCATAATGGCTATTTCAGTTCTTGGCATTCCATAGAAGAAAAAGGAAGAAGGGACACAGACAAGGAGTACACCATCGAGAAAACAAACGCATTTCCAAGAATCCTGTAGCAGATTTAAGTCTCTTTGGCCCAACTGGGAGATGACTAGGGACAAAGGGAATGAAATGGGGCTTGAACTGGCTGACCAATGTTACCCAATGTGATGTGATAATAGCAGTCCAGATGGAAACCTGATGGCGCTGGATCTAGTCTCACTTCTACCACATAGTAGTTAAATGATTTGGGGAATGTTCCCAAAGCTTTCTCAGACTCTGTTTCCTGAATTGTGACAAGAGAATAATAAGATCTATCTTAGCTTTTTATGTAATTTACAAGAATAGACACCCCCTATCACTACCACCACACACACACGTGTGTGCTATAAATTCTTAATTTACTTAGGCACACCTACACCTGATGAAACCAGGTGGCTGCCCATAGGGAGAGGATGTGTGGCATGATGCTGACCTTTGACTCCCTAAGAGAGACCCAGATGCCAATGTCCCTCTTCCTTCTGGCAGAAAGGATCCTGCCAGAGTTGATCAAACAGCCAATTGCTAAACCACCATCCTTTTATTCTTTGGACTTACATTACCATCCTAGAAGTAGATGCACTAAAAATCTCCATGTTTCTACTTAAGGAAATGTTAATAAATGCTGATAGTTCCCGGTTCCTGAGCCCACATACTAACAATGAGGCCGCAGCTTCTTGTGGAGAGAATGCAGAATCTGCCTCTAGTATCCTTGGAAATTATCTACACTTCTCCCTTTCTTGCCTTATAGGATGTCTGTTACTGGTACTGCCAATGAGATTGTTTTGAGAATTAAATGAGAGAATGCACGGTAATATAAAAGAAAGCAAACTTCTGTCATGTTTGAATTAGAAATATATGTTTTTATTCCGATTCTTAAAATTGTGTTGCTTAGAAGAAAAGATTAGAGGGTTGTTTCCCTAGTGCCTCTCCATCAGTGGGGTGTCAGAGTACACAAAGTTTGGAAGAACAAAGAAATAAAGAAAAAAGGGGAAAGAGTATGTTAGCTGTATTAGTTATACTTTCTAATGTTAATGAACTATATACCTGTTTTTCTTAGAATATATTCATAAAACATATGTGCTATTTCCTATCTCCTTCCTAAAATTTCAATTTTTGCAAGTGAGGTGTACAAGTTCCAGGGGTTGATTCAATGTGTGAGGTCGATAGGTTACTCAATATTAAACATAACCAAATATAATTTACCTCAAGAATGCAAGGATAGTTTAATATTGTAAAATGTACTACATATAATAAAACTACCATGTGAGGAAAAATAGGTATAGGTTAAGTATACAGCAACCACATCCTTAAAACCATACAGTAAAATAATAAAAGATGTAATGGAAAACTAATTTTAATTATAATTAGCGACGAAAAACCTACAACTAGGAATAACTGTTAAACAAAAGTTAACCAAATAAATTTGGAGGTCTAATTGGCTTTATTAAGGGACTCCAGCATCGAGCAGCATGCCATCTGGCAAGTAGAGGGATGCTTTGAGGAGCTGTACAAAATGAAAGGATTTTATAGAAAGAGGGCAGGATGGTTAGCAGAAGAAAAGAAAGGGGCTCTTATACATATTACCTCCTCTTCCTTTGGGGAATGGAGAGGGCCCGTGTGACACTGTATCTCATTGGTACTGACCAGAAAATTCCCCACTGACTGGTTAAGACTGCATTTCTGGGGGAGGTTGAATCTGCAATTAGATTAGGTATTAAGCCCCAGTTTGCTGACATGGACTCACATAAGTGACTCCATTTTGAGCCCGTGGTTTTCTTTTTGACATAACCCTAAAATTAAATGTGAGATTTATTGTGCAGATATAAAACTTTACACACATACACCCAAGCATAAAGATATGAACAGAGAAATGTACCATGTTCTAAAACTGGAAGACAGAATTAACATTAATTCACCAAATTAATGTATAAACATAGTGTATTTCCCAGCAAAATCCCATGGGAATTTTTCTTTTCAGAGAGTGAGATAGAAACTAATAATAACTATTTATCTTTAAAATAAATAGGACTAACTGAAAATGTTTTGGGAGACTCAGCCCTGATTAAATTTCAAGTTAAAACCAGAGTCCCCAAAGGTTTTTTGTTTTTGTTTTTGTTTTGTGATGAGACAAATTATCAGATATTAAAACATACTTTAAAACAATGATAATTAAAACAGAGTAGTACATACACAGAGACACACGTGAGTAGAAATAAATAGAACAAAAGGGAAAGTATAAGATATTTATAGATGATAAATTTGGCATTACAAATCAGAGAGGAAAATATAAATTATATTTTTCATAACTTTGTACAAGAGCCAATTAAAAAGTTAGGCATTTTTCCTAAAAAGTAGAAAAAATGGGTAATTAGCTTTTGATGCAGAAGGACCTTCTCATATAAAAGCAATAGGAGAAATAGGAAATTATCAAATTCCTATATAATTAGAAACTTTTCTGCTTCAATAGAAACAAAATTTAAAATAAGTAACAAACGGGATTTTTAACAGGTTTGAGAAAGGTTTAAGGTAAATAACATAGGGAATGTTTACAAATCAGTATTAGAAAAGTTCAAATCTGTAAAAATAAGTTTATAGGCCCCAATATCTTTGATGCAGCTGTAATTACATTTCAAATTAAAACCAGAGTCTCCAAAGCTTTTGATTTTTATTTTGTTCGTTTCCCAAGAGATGACAAACTATTGACCCACATGATTTTGAGAACCTAAAGCCCTGGATTAACCATTAGCCTCTTTTCACAGATAAGAAATGTTAGTGAATATTCACCTGTCGGTTCCTGTACAATCTAAATTAAATCTCTTACTTTGTTTCTTGTCACATTGAAGTTGATCCTGTGGACGTCTGTTTACTAAAGAAAGCAGAGCTTTTCCTGTAAGAGAGAAAAGCTTAATTCTTAGGATTGTTGACTTGAAACCTTGATCCTATTGAAGGTTAGAGCAAACTACCTTTGTTAGAATGTTTATTTCAGAAAAATACTATGTATGATCACTTAAAGCTAGAAATGGTTTGTCATAGAAAGCATGCCAGTTGCCACACCTTGCCTCTTATTCATTTGGCTATGCCGTGGATAAATGAAAATTGTATGTAGCTGAGGCTCAAGGATGCTTCCTATATATGATTATTTTATTTCAGTGTGGTGACAGAATAATTGTTTTGTTCTCTGAGGTCCTAGCTAGACCATGTCGTCTTCTTTTATAATACATCACTTTAAAGAGATCTACCTAGGTTATTCTAGCCATTGTAGGAACTGGGTCCTGTGCTCTAGTTGGTTTAGAGTCCTGTCCTAAGAAATGCTTAGATTCAGGAGTCTGGAATATCTTTCTCTCTATTCTAATTGGGTTTTCTTCTGCTTAATTTTCTCATTTTTATATTCTTGGGAGTGGATATGGCATAAATTCGTAATTTCAAAAATAAGATTTTTTTTCTCTCACTTTGCTCAATGACCTTTGCTTTGATAAGTGGTAAGTTTGTGTATGCTTTTTTCTTTATTTTGGGCTAGGAAAATTGTGTGGAGGAAAGTCACCTTCATTAAAATATCATGGTCCTCTAGTCATGCTGATTTTCACATACAATGTCAGTCGGGCCATGGAAGAATTTTCTTTGAGATATTCTTTTCATATTTCTGGTAAGCCTATTGCTTTCATATATGTTTATGTGTATGTTTTTGTTTTGTGCTTTATTAGGAAGAATCTGTCATTAAACAGATTGAATTGTCTCTTTTGTCTGCTTTAGAGGAGAAGGAAAGGACAGTGTTTAAGGTATGACTTCTGTAATCTGTGGAGGCCTCAAGCTAAACCTCTATAAAGTAAAAGATTGATCAGATCTGTCATTTTTTTCTTAAAGCACCAAAGAATTTTGTCTGTTTTTCTGGGTACTTGGATGATTATAACAATATAGGAGGAAACTTTTATCCCTAGCATAAAAGTTTCAAGTAGATTTTCTCTTTTGAAATTAATTTTCTTAATTTACTAGTATATTCTTTTTCACTTGTTTGATGGACAGTTCATTTATATTGGTTATAACCAGATTATTGAAAAATATGCTTTGCCCAACGTTCCTGTGACTTGGGTGAAGACACTGATAGCATTATGAAAATTGAGAACTATTAATTTGCAATTTAGGTTTAATTCTGAACGGTTATTAGAATTGCTTTCGTCCTTAAGATTAATCAGTTTATACTCATTAAAAATGTTAATTGGAATACAATTGGAGAGGCATTTCTACTAAAAGTATTTAATTTAGTCTCCTAACAGTCTCTGCCCTAGTAGAGTTTATAATCTAGTGGGACAGTCAATAATCAAATAATCACATAGAAAAAATATAGAGTAAAAAAAACTATTGTTTTGAAGGAAAAATACAGTGTACAGTAAAAATATACAGTGGAGGGATCTTATTTAGTTTGGTAAAGGATGGCAATGGAATTGTAGGAAAACTTTAGTTTCTTTGTTTTCTTATCATAGAACTCCATGAGATTTATTTCTATTCCTCTTTTGCCCTTATTTTTTTCTTAGATCCATTCCCATAGGGCTGTCTTTGTTACCATTCCACAGGCATTGGTCTTACCAAAGTTACCAATGACTTCCCCGCCAAGTCCAGATCCAAGAGATCCTTCTCAGCCCTAACAACATTTGGCACAGAAGAGCTCTCCTTCCTTCTAGAGTCTACTTGTCTTGGCCTCCAGGAAACCATTCTCCTCAGCTGTCCTCTTCACTGATCTCCTTCAGAGCCTCTTGGCTGGCTGCTCTTCATTTTCTCTACCACTAAAGGTAGAGGTGTCTCTGGACCCAGTCCTTGACTCTCATTTCTTCTTTACCTGTACTCTTTAGTGATCTTACCCAATCCCTAGCTCTCACTACCATCGATACGCAAATAACTCCCAACTTCTTTTTTACTTTTGACCTCCAGCTCTGTATCACCAGTTGCCTCCCCCTCCACTTGGATATCTGATGGGCATCTCACACTTAATGCTGTTATCTCCAAAACCTGCAACTGTGCCTCGTAAATAGCTGGTGCACAATAACTGTTTGAATAAAGGAAATTACATTTCAGCTGGGGCAGATTAGGGAAAAGAGGGTAAGGAGGTAGCTCCTTATCCAGTGAATGGGTAAGAAATGGATCCATTTGCTTATGGGAATCCTGCTGGCTGAGAGCCAATGTATGAACAGGAGTCAACTCAGGAGACTGTTATTATATATAGTCAATTTCTGTGTTCAGATAAACATAGAAAACCATTAGTGCAGCTATTTTACAATGATAGCAAAATTTATAGCCCATGTGTGTAGTTTTTTAAAGATCTGACTCCCATCATTCATATTTTTGAGAATACAAATTAAAATGTATCAACACTAATTGTTATATCTATGTGAATCAAAAATATAGAATCATTAAAATTTATGTGAAATATTGAGTAGTATGGAAAAATGGTCACAATAAATTAAATGGAGGAAAAAGGTTTTAATTGTGTAAAATGGCATACAAATTTTAAAAAATGTATGCATAGCATAGGAAAAGACCTGGCCAGGTTTATGTTAAAATACGAATATTGGTTATTTACAGGCTGGGACTACTGGAGACTATTTTCTCTGAACTCTCTGTACTTTGAAATTCTTTTTTAAGTTGCATATATCACTTTTATAATCAGAAGAATAAAGAAATAGAAAGTATTTAGTTGGATGTATTGACACTGAATATTCTCTTATTCTAGATTCCATGAGAGGAAAAAACAAAGTTAATGATCAAGGTAAGACTATGATGGAGGTAAGGAATCCAGCTGGCCTGACTTTGGTTATATGATATTATGAAAATAGAGTGGAGAACGCCCTGCTGCTAAACACTATGTAGTAAGAAGTGCACTCTGATTTCTGTTAAAAACATTCAGGTGTTTGTGGTCTGATTCTAGTCACTTTATGGTAAAATGTGTATTTGTATTAATTGCCTTAATGTCAAACTTTGCGGGTAGTGGAGACCTGGGGCCATTAGGGAATAGAGAGTGAGGAGGTAGCACCTTAATTACTGGGTGAGAAACACATCGGTTTTGTTAATGGAATCCTTGTAGCTACGTGAAGTCCATTTTTTTTTTTTTATGTGAAGTCTATTCATTGCCATTCTTTCCGTATACTTTTTGTCTTTTGGATTACATATATATTTTTTGTTTTCTTCTTCGCTGGACCATTGCATAGTGAAACTAAGGTGATAAGATTATTGATGAAGTAAATCAATTTTGGATGACATTGCTTTCAGGTTGGATGATATCTAGGACTTTTGGTGTAGGCCCAAGTCTACTCCAAAATTGAATTCTTCAATTCTCTTTTTTGGTGTAGCCCCTTAGCTCTTGTGAATCTTAATGTCTATGTTTCAACTATCTGAGAGCTATCCAAATTTCCCTAACTGATAAATGTTTGCAATTTGAATTGTATGTGCCGTGAGGCTGAACTTGAGGAGCACATAATTTATTCAGAAATTCAGTCTAATGAGGACCCAGGTCTACTTCTCAACCTGCTTGCCCTGTTCTCTGCTCATATTTTAATGGTGTCGAAGTTCTCTTTTTCTGCACTGTATGGGAAATAAATATTATTGTGGCATTTGCAAATTTGGGGAAATCCTAAAAGTCTTAGGACGTATCTGTTGAAGATCAAAGTGATAGATCACTATCATCTGTGGACTGAAGATGATAAAATCTATTTCTCATGCATGAACATTAAGATTGTATGTTAATTAAATATAAGCAACAAACTACACTGAAATGTGGATGTGGGTGATTTAGCAGTTCACAGTTTGTAAAATGAAATCAAAGAACTTCAGTCTGTCTTCTTTAGGAGGGGTCAGTTTTTCAAAACAAAAGTCATTTAAATCCTGTGTCAGTATACATAAGGAACTATGGATACGAAGAAAGAGTGACAGATTAATAAAATTACACTACCATTTAGGTTGTAATGACATAGTTGCAGACATTAAAACTAGATTCAGAAAGTAACTCAGCTCCTGGATTATTGTGTTAAATAATTTTTTTCTTTTTTGCTTCAAGGATGTCCAGTATTGGATTTGATTCCAGTTAGTTCTACTGAGATCACATCTCCCAATTATCCTAATATTTATCCCAACATGCTGAACTGCACTTGGACTTTTTATTCCAAGTCAGGAAATAAAATGAAGGCAGTGATTAAAGACTTTACCACAGAAGCATCTTGGAACTGTGAATGGGATTATTTCAGTATTTATGATGGACCAGATCAGCAGTCAAGATTACTTGGTAAACTGATCTTTCTTAACCGGCCTACATTACGTGGCATTTATATAAGCATTTATACAGTGCATATATGTGGAAAATATGACCTACACTTGCCTTGGGAAACATATAATTTGTTATCAGTGATTTTTCATGAGATCCTTCATCAGAATCACAGGGCTTTATTGAGCACAATGGGATGAGTTTGAGCCCACACTCGCTGGATCTTCACCTGTAATTCTAGCGCTTCCTGATTTTAGCCTGATACCCATCTCATTTTGCCATTAGGGGGCACCCTAATTTTGTTTTTCTAAGGAAGTCCTATATTTTAAGAGGTTTCAATTTCTGAACTGCATTTTTAGGTAACTTTTTGAAAATTTGTTTACTCAAATTTTATCTTCACCGTAAAAGTGACCCTTTTTAGACCCAGGGTAAATTTAAGAGGAGAAAAAAGCCAATTAGTTTGAATAATCTTTAGAGATTTATTGGCCACATGGTGTCTATCACCCTTGACCGTCAGGCAGTATCCTTTCTGAGACTGACTCATAGAAGAAAACCTTTCCAAAGATTTTTTAATCTAATACTGCATCACCTTCTTCACTCTCCAACGAGTTCTGCTCCTCAGGACGCCCTTACAATCCACCTATTCCAAAGAGCTAGAGGAGAGTTTTGATACAATCTTTTTCCAGGACCTTGACCTCTTCTGTAATATTATAAGATATATAACACCAATAAGCTCAGCAATTTGCTTTGAAATTCTAAGGGTACCTAACTTTTTCCCATCAGTGAATTTGGTTCCTATCAAGGAATCTCAAGCAATTACTGTTGGGTAGGGGGACAGATAGAACATTTCAAGCTATTAGTTCTCCTTAAGATTAAGATGAGTATCAGAACCTGTTATCCTCTTGCCAGTGCCCTTTAGCCAAAGACGCCAGGATCACACCATGGGTTGTCTCAGTAAGAGGGGGTTAGAACGATTATAGGATTTGGGCTTTGGTTAGGTAATTTTGGAGAGGGTCTAAGGAAGTGGACTTGGCTCTAGACTGGTTGCTGTTCGTTAGTGGAGCAATTTTATGAATGGGATCTCAATCATAGGGAGGCCTGACTTGAATTAAGGGTAAGACTGCATTTGGTAAAGAAGTGGCAAGCCCTTATTTTAAGAGAGGTCGAAGTTTGGTATTTTGGTGGTTGCACATGACCTTGTTTTGGTCTCACCTTATCATAGGTTCAAAGAGTCCTTTCTGATGTTGCTGTTCTGTGAGATTGTTTATGTCCAACAGGAGAACAACATAGTCTAGCTGTGAGTGCCAAACCTGTTTCTGAATGTCAGGGGCTACGTTTCTCTTTCTTACTCTTTAGTATTCTTCCATCTAGCAACATTATTCAGAAGTGTCAAATGATTATAAATAAGACTAGTCATATTTTTATAATCAGCTTATATAAATCTCTGTAAGAAGGAAGCTAACATTAGTTTGATAGTTTATACAATTTTATATATATAATTTCATTTCAATGAAACCTGCAATTTAAATAAGCATTTTTAAACCATGGAACATGGATTCCCGTTGCTAATCTCCCAGCTACCGAAACAGGCTATCCCATATATGGAACCACATTATCCTTTCTTAATAAATTTTTTTATTCATGTAAGTAGAATTCATCAGTTTTTAACTAGTTTTTAATTATTTGTGTATGTGTAAATCAAGTGGTCCCTAACACCCAAATGGTTTCCATTGCAACGCTTTTACAATATTTTAATGAGAATAAATTCATGGTCTTCTTTCATTTGCCCCGTGAATGTAAGACATCAGTAACCAGTAAACACTATATTAAATGTACAGTTTGAATTCATTCATTACCGAGCATGACCTAATGGGTTAGGCACACTGGAGACACAATGGTGAACAAGTCAGAAATGATCTCTGCCATCTTCTCTTGGAAAGACAGACAATAAATAAGAAAATGATATTATATAACGATAAATAATCAAATAATTCCTGCTTGTCCAAAGTAATCTGAAGGAGGTAAGTTGCAGAGGAAGGGTACGTTTCCTCAGTTCATTCAGTTGTCTGTTCCAATGTTGCATCTAAGGCCTGTATCACATGATGTAAACGGGTCTCCTCCATCTTTTCTTCTCAGCATTTATCATGACCTGACAGAGTATGTATTTGTCTATAATCTGTCTCCCTCCAACGGAATGAAAATTTCCTGAGAGCAGGACTTGATCTCGTATTCGTTGCTGTATCTCCAGCACGTTGGTAGAGCACGTCCCGACACTTTGTTAATATTCGATGAAAAAATAGGTGAGAAAATGGCCTTGAATGTGGAAAAAGCTTGGTAAGTTGGAGTAGTGTCAGGGGTCAGAGTGATTGGAGACTGAGCAAGGACAGACTGGAGCGAGGTGAAATGGAGGCTTTCCCCCTGTGCAGCTCGGGCTGTGGTAATGAGTTTGAATTTTGTTCCAATCCACTGGGAGGCCGTAAAAGGTGTTTGACAAGGGAGTAATTTGAAAGATGCTCTAGCTGCTGTGTCAGGAGTGAGTTTTTGGGTGACAGGGTGAAATCACGAGGCTCTTGTGTTATTCTAGACCTGCACTGTCCAGTCCAGGTTGTTATTTAAATTTAAATTAGTTAAAATGAAATAAAAGGTGGTATTGGCCATATTTAAGTGCTCAATTGCTGCATGTGGTGAGTGACTCCTATAGTGGGCAGCCCTCTATATTCTATGGAACAGAATGTTCCATCCTTGCAGAATGTTCTGTTAGTACTGTTTTCAACAATAGATATTGCCTTAGAAGAGGATGGCACCAATGGAGTGCAAGTGAAGTGGACAGATCTGGAGAGAGAACTAATAGGGTTTCCGGGAAGATTGCGTATGGGATTAAATATGCAAATCAAAAATATGCAAATCAAGGATGACTCTGGTGTGAGAGGTTAGCATCTACAGAGATGGGAAATACCGGAGGGAGAGAGAGATTTGTGGGGAGAGATCTGTTTGGGCCACATTAAATTCTTAAAGCTATGATACATCCAGGTTGAGTTGGCAGTAGGTAGCTACATGTTGAATTCTTGAGCTAGAGGAAAAGTTTGGGCTGGAGATAAAAATTTGAGGATTATCAGCTGCATACAAATTTCCTCTAGTTATCCTCTCTTGGACATCATCGAGCTCCACTATCACTCTCATCAGTTTCAAACATGTTCTAGTCTTACCCATCATTTAAAACAAAATAGAACAAGAAATGTAGTGATTGCCCCATTTCTCTGCCTCCCTTTACAGCAAAATCTCTCACTTTCTTAGAAGCTGCTGGATTTAGAAAGTTTATGGGACTGACGACCAGAAGGTCATGGTGAGACCAAACAATTATAGTAGAGAAACACTAATGAGTTGGAGAGATAGGAGGTGGTGATTTAAAAAGCAGGACGTTTGCAATTGAAATTTCAGAGGTATCAAATGACACCATTTCAGAGCTCTCTTTGTAAAGAATTACAAGGAAAAGGAACCCGTTCCCGTGCATCAGATTTAGTGTTGGCACTTTGTGGGCATGCGCTAGCTCAGTCTCGCAGATCTTCGGTCACTGTCTAATCTGCTGGCTGTAGCTCCTGCCCTACTGGTTATTAAATACTAACCTTGGTCAAGCAACCGTTTTAAGGAACCCTGACACAAACATAGAGCGCAATGACCAGGATGCTGAAGGGCGTGGGCGCTTGGAAGTGTTTACCTTGGAGAAGAGAAAAGACAGAAGGATCATAATTCTTCCTTTCAAGTATTTATGGAATTCTCAGAGACTCTCAGGCCAAATATGAAATTTGTTCTGCCTAATAATATCTAATAGTTATTGAATATTTACCATTATTCAGGCATAGTCCTAAGAATGTATAACTCTCTTAATTTTCTTAACTATCTTGTAGAGGTAGGTTACATTTATCCTCATTTTACTTATTTTTTTAAATTTTCTTAAAAGATTTTATTTATTTATTTGACAGAGAGAACACAAGCAGGGGGAGTGGCAGGCAGAGGGAGAGGGAGAGGCAGACTCTCCACTGAGCAGGGAGCTGGACAAACGCAGGGCTCGATCCCAGGACCCTGGGATCATGACCTGAGGCGAAGGCAGGCGCTTAACTGACTGAGCCACCCAGGCGCCCCTCTCATTTTAAGTATAAAGAAACCAAGTCACAAAAAGATTGAGCAACTTGTTCCCAGGGACATAACTAGTAAGTAGAGAAAGTGGGATTCAAACCCATGCACTCTGATTCAAATGCTACACCAGCCATGTGACAGTTGTTCCATTGATGCTTTTTTTTTTTTAAATATTTTATTTATTTATTTGAGAGAGCATGAGAGGGGGTAGGGTCAGAGGGAGAAGCAGACTCCCTGCTGAGCAGGGAGCCCGATGCGGGACTCGATCCCGGGACTCCAGGATCATGACCTGAGCTGAAGGCAGTGGCCTAACCAACTGAGCCACCCAGGCACCCCCCATTGATGCTTTTTGATTCAACTTGAAGAACAGTCTAGCAACTAGAACTGTTCAAAAAGAGAAAATGCTCATAAGTTCCATGTAATATCTTCAACCCTATGTCCAGGGTTATTTTAGAACAAACTCAGTGTCAGATGAAAGATGGAACTAAATGATCTCTAAGATCCTATATTGGCACTATTCCCTTCTCATGCAGGCACACATTTTGTAAATGTGTCGTCTGTATTTCTAAGTTCTAAATAGAAATACTGTATTTGAGGGGCGCCTGGGTGGCTCAGATGGTTAAGTGTCTGCCTTCGGCTCAGGTCATGATCCCAGGGTCCTGGGATCGAGCCCCGCATCGGGCTCCCTGCTCAGCGGGGGGCCTGCTTCTCCCCCTCCCTCTGCTGCTCCCCCTACTCATGTTCTCTCTCTCTCTCTCTCTGTATCTCTGTGTCTCCGAATGAATAAATAAAAAAAATCTTTAAAAAAAAATACTGTATTTGACAGAACCAAGGATAAAACTATTTTCATACCATTAAGACCTTCCCTCCAGCTTAATATTGTATGATTATTTAATCAGCTGTGAAACTTCCTGGCCACTTAATTATCCACTTACATTTTATATCTGTTCACAGGATATCATAAGATACTTTTTTAAGTGCTTCATTGCAATCAAGATTCATTAAGTTTATCTCCTTCCCCCTAGCCACCATCTAATTAGCTCTTTCAACAAAAATTAATTAGGTTACTTGAATGTGACACGTTAAGGATCCCATGTTGGCTTCTTGTGACCATTGATTCTTTCTCCAAGTGTTCAAAAACTGTCGAGTAATTTGCTGAAGTTTTTTTATGTAACACACACTTATAATAATTTACAAGTACCAATTTATAAAATCCCATTTGAACATAATTTTTATCTCCATTATACAGATGAGAAAATTGAGGCAGAGAGTGAGACAGATTAAACGAATTGCCCAGGGCCACATAGTAAATTGCAGAGCTGGTGGAAACCCACAGTTTGGTTATAGAATCTGATAGAATCTGTGCCTGTAAGCATTAAGTATGCTCTTTCCCTGACGTACAACCCTGGAAATCCTCTACTTTCTTTGTTTTCTCTGACTTCTACCCATCTTCTCTCACCCCCAAATCTTTTTTAAAAATTTTCTAAGCAGTAACCTATTCCCATTTACATTATTTTAAAACTTCTGGCGTGTTTGTTGACTCTATCCAGAGTCCTTTTCCTTGACATGGTGCATCCCAGTTCCCCATCATATCCAGTTCACCAGATTCTTCAAAGATAAGAAGGATGTAGAGGTTCACTCTTCCCCTGTTCCCTCTCTTTCTGTGTCAGATTGTTGAGATAACATTATCGTTAAGACAAATCAATAATGTATCACTGTTTTGAGAGAACTGAAATTACAGCATGTATAGATAAATTACAGCAGATATCCTATCACTATCAGGACCACCTTTGAACAACTTGTATTTCTGGATTAGGAAAGGATCATCATTAGTCTGCATTTGGGCACCCTGCGTGTCTTAGCCAGTTTGGGCCACTATACCAAAAATACTAGACACGGGTGGCTTAAACAACAAGCATTTATTTCTCATGGTTCTGGAGGCTTGGAAGTGCAAGATTTGGTGTCTGGTAAGAGCTCACTTCTGATTCATAGTTGTCTTTTTTGCTCTGTCCTCACATGGCAAAAAAGGAGTGAGAGAGTTCTCTGGGTCTCCTTTATAAGGGCACTAGTTCTTGGGCGCCTGGGTGGCTCAGTCAGTTAAGCGTCTGCCTTCGGCTCAGGTCATGATCCCAGGGTCCTGGGATAGAGTCCCACATCGGGCTCCCTGCTTGGTGGGAAGTCTGCTTCTTTCTCTCCCTCTCCCTGCTGCTCCCCCTGCTTGTGCGTGCTCTCTTTCTCTCTGTCAAATAAATAAATAAAATCTTAAAAAAAAAAAATAACTGAGGGCACTAGTTCCATTCATGAAGTCTCCACCCTTGTGACCTAATCATTTCCCAAAGGCTCTGCCTCCTAATACCATCACATTTGGGATTGATTAGGATTTCAACCCATGAAATTGTGGCGGGGTGGGGGTGGGGCACAAACATTCAGAACACTGTCCTATTACTTTTGTTTCTCTGTCCATTTGCCTTCACCAACAAGCCTCTTTTCTCATCCTTATGATCACAGATTGCCATAGAGTTGTATGTCATTTCATAGCAAATGCTAGCCCACCCTTTTCCCTTTAATCATTCAAAATCTGTACCCTTCCATGGTTGCAGTCAAATCATGGATGCCATTCCACAAATCTTGATTTTACATCATCGATAATCATTCCTTTGCCAATATTAACAGTTTGGAATTTAATGTCCCCTCCTAGCCCTCTTTTATCTATGTTACTGTACAGGAGAAATATTTTAATTACTATGTATATCTCACATTGCAGCTCATTTATGTGGTTCCAAGAAAGAATTTGTCTTGATATCCAGTGGTGCTTACCTGACTGCGAATTTTAAGACTGATAAGTCTGTGGGAGAAAGAGGTTTTAAACTTATTTTGGAAGATATAGTTCAGAAGCATTTACAAAAAAGTAATATGGGAACCCAACTGCCTATCAGTGGTAAGTATTTTAATATATTTATTAAAGCAGATATCATACATGTCAAAGTAGAACCTGTGGAACACTGGTTTGAGAGTCCCTGGTAGTTACCCTGCTTTAATTCTCAAAACAGGATAACTTCATTTCAGACCATTCTTTAAGGCACAAGACCTTGGAGATTATTTTATTTTTATTTTTTTAAGATTTTATTTATTTGAGAGAGGAGCAAGAGAGAGAATGAGCTGGAGGGAGAGGCAGAGGGAGAGGAAGAAGCAGGCTCCCTGCTAAGCAGGGAGCCTGATACGGGGCTTGATCCCAAGACTCTGAGATCATGACCTGAGCTGAAGGAAGATGCTTAGTCGACTGAGCCATCCAGGCTCCCCTGGTTTGGATAAATTTCTTCTAAGGTGGTTATTTACTGCCAGCTACATTTTTGTTTGCTACATGTAGCTCTAGAGTTGTGTCTTCCTTCCTTGCTTGATGCTGAGATTTTTTTTTGTCATGAGAATCATAATTTATCTCATCCTACATTTCTTGGACATCAGCCTCTCACTATTTATTACTGCTCTCAGGCACAGGGCTTCATAGAAGGCACCCCATCTTGGTAGTTTAGATGGACCATTTGAGGTAATAGTTAATTGGGGTGTGTGCATGTGTGTGTGTGTGTGTGTGTGTGTGTTATTTTACTTAAGAAATAACGATAAACATGAAAGGCAGCTGCTATTAAAAAAATCTAGTGGGGACATTGAGGCTGAAACAAAGGTAGAGTTCAGTGTGTTTCCATGTCTCTGTTAGCATCTCTTTTTTATTAAATAACAACTCCCAAATCCCCAAAAAGACACTCCCCCCAAAAAAGAATATTTTAGCTGAACACATACTAACTACTCTGCGTAAAACAGGAACACATGTAATGACTTTTCTATTTATTGAATCTACTTTTAAGCCAGAACTTCATTAGTTGTGTTTAAGGGTAAAAAACCAAATAAATCTGTTATTAGGAGATTCTCTTGATTGGAGTGTAATTCTAGGAAGAATTCTAATAACATCCAATACAAAGTTCTTTTTGATGTCACTTTGTCTTTTGTAAGATGGGGGAATGAATGAGTTCTAGAAGATTCCTTGATGTGAGCCATAGACTAATGAACCACATCATCATATAGGTGTGATTTTTTTTAATTGGGTAAGGAGTGCTCAACTACTGACCCTTCTTCTGTCTCCATTGCTCCTTTTTTAAAAAAGATATATTTATTTATTTTTTAGAGCGCATGAGCAGGGGTAGGGACAGAGGGAGAGGGAGAGGGAGAATCCTCAAGCAGACTCCTGCTGAGCATGGAGCCTGTTACAAGGCTCGATCCCAGGACCCTGAGATCATGACCTGAGGTGAAATGATGCTTAACCGACTGCACCACCCAGGCGCCCCAGTCTCCATTGCTCTTATCTTTCCATCTCTGCATCTCTAAACTGACCCTTCATTTGCATGGTAAAAATATTTAGGCTGCTTCATTTCCTCTTTTAAGCATTTGTTGTTTTTTTTAGAGGTAAGTTGAAAAAAATAAATTGAATACTAATAAAATATTGCTGTTAGTATTCAATTTATTTTTTTGCATGTGTACGAACAGCCCACAGTTCTAAGAGTTACCACATACACAGATTAAAATGCAGTAAAAACATGCAGTAAGGCAGTAAACCTTAAAGTATAAAACATGTTGAATAGATAACTTTGTGGGGTTTATTTCTATGATCTAGGATAGTCTTAATTTTGAAGAGTTCGCATATTTTTTTTGACATATATATACAAAAGGAGGAGGGAATCCATGTTTTACACATATCTGAAGAGAAAGTAGAAATGAATTTTGATACAAGTATTGAATAAACAAATCCACCCTGCTAGAAACTTTGTTTTAAATAGATTTCTGGTGTAAAAAATCTCAAGCAAAGCATTTAAAAAATGAGCATATCTTATAATTCCCAAATTATAAGCTTTGAGGAAGCTTATTTAATTTTTTTCATATTTCAGGATATACTTGAATAAGTCTCTTGTTTTTAATTCCCTGGTGCAGTTCTTTCTAAATCTGAGAATGAAGTAAACACATTACTAGAAATTCTCCTTATGTTTTTCCTTTCTATATAAATTGTACTTGGAATACATGTAGTATGAAGTCTTTTGACATGTCTAGATGTGTTATACTGGGATCACACAAATAATGCCAAAGAACGAACAATGTCCAGTAATTTCATGATTAAGTGCAATATTTTAAAAATCAATTTCTGTTCTGATTTGTTTAAAGAGGTATGTATTAATGCTTCAGGTAACTTTATTGATTTTTGTTCATTTTAAAAGCAGTGGAAGAAAAGAGAAATCTCCTCTGTGGCTAAGAATCCTAGTTTTGAAACTACAAAAGAAATAAATCCCTCCATTCTGAGATTTTAATAGACTTTGATAAGTATTTCTAATGTTTTGTTGTTACTTTTCTCAGAGATAACCGTAGAAAGCAATACTGGAAAACAGCCAACCCAAGACACATGTGGAATTCCAGTTGTTGACCCATTTCTAATGCAAGGGTCTGAGAGAAACACACAGGTGTTGCCCGCTGAGCGTGGGGAGCCCCGGATGGTGGGTGGCCATGTGGCACCTACCAAGTCGTGGCCCTGGCTCGTCAGCCTGCAGCACCAAGACCAACATTTCTGTGGAGGTGCTTTAATTGCAAAGCAGTGGGTCCTGACAGCGGCACACTGTAACTTTAGGTGTGTGCCCATGCGGTGCCGGGGCGGGGGGGCGGTGCCCGAGGTGGGTGTACTCCTGCTCTCCCCGCAGCACAGGAACCATTAAGCTCCCACCGATACAGTCCCTACCTCGCAGATGAATGGATGTGCTCAGACCACGACACATCGTGCTTCTCTAACACAGTTACTACTGATAACTTTTAATTTTAGAAGGTGTTAAAATTAACTTTTCAGTGTAATTTACTTAATATAAGTAACAATAGTCCCCTCTTTTCTTAGCTATAAAATGGAGGTAATATCTTAACATGTTTGCATCAGTGTCTTAACCGCTTACATAGAGCACAGGAGTTGCTCAAATGTGAATTCCTGTCCTTCTTGCTCTACTCTACTGACTACTGATCATCCTACCCACTCTCAAAATAAGTATCCACTTCAAAGAATTTTAAAGAATGTCCTTTAAAAGAAACACTTAAACAAATTGTATCTGAATCTTGGTCTCAATGTGATACAGAGATATCTGAAAACTCCTTCCTCAGAGAAGTCTTAGGCTGGTGTTTTTAATACCGGCCTCCCAGAAGTAGTGATGGCCCATAGTTAAATGAGTAGATAGAGTGTTTCAGGGCTGCGAAAGTAGGCTTTCTAATAAAAGTATCTGCTCCAATAACTTGGTGGGCAGGAACCTTCAAGGAATCAAAAACTCCTTTTCTCTACCATTCCCCAACTCCTTTGATACAGAGAAATCACAAGAAGTTCTCCTTATTAAGGCAGTTTTCAGACTTTCATGTGCTCAAAATTACCTGGAGAGTTTGCTGTGAAATCTTAGAATCTTAATTCTGAATTTTGACTTAATGAGTTATGTCTAGGATTCTGCATTTTTAATGCACTGCCAGATTTAATGCATGTAGTTCCTAGACATTTTTTTGAGAAACACTGTGTTAGGGAGTAGAGTAACTGTAACTTTCAGAATAGGTTTCAGTGACTATTATATAAGTATGTCATATAATGTGTAATATTATGATTGTAATAATACATAGAATCATTACCCTTGAGGCATCATGAATCTTGTTAAGAAACACTAAATCATTTTTTGTTTGATGTTATGAAGGCAAGAAAGTAGATACCTTAATTTTTCTCAAGGATCAAATTAATAAGAAACCTCCATTTTCTAGGAATTCAAGTTAACACAGATATTAAGGTAGATGGGAGATGTTAGAGAATGTACTTTTAGTAATTTTGAAAAAGTATGACCTCATTAAAAGTGGTATCTATCTCCCCCATTCCTTTTTCCTATGACAAGTACTATCACAGATGGCCTGGTAAGAGGAAGAAGTTCCCTCTCAAACATGGGAAATAGTGATCTGATACCAGTGAAAGCTGTATACACTCACCCTGGCTTCGCACAGTTCCCTCCTACTGATGACCTATCCTTGCTGCAGCTGGAGAAACCTGTCCAACTAGGTCAGTGTGGATAACTCTGCTCCATATTTGCAACCTTTGCCATGTGGTTATCTTCCATCTTGCTTAGAAGTGCTGTGTGTACTTTTGAAAGTCACGATTTCAAAACTTTCTGATATTCTAAGCTACCTTCCCTCAAAGCTGAAGCACCTGCCCAAACATTTTACTTTTATATGTCTTTAATTGGTGCAGGTCTAGAGAAGATTTCAAAGAAATATGGTTTAATCTTGTCCTATTTATTCTGAGACTTGCTGTTAGGTGAGGTTTACCCAAATACTTAAAATAGCAGTTTGACCCATCAGATGTTCAATTGTCTGTACCTTTACGGCTTAGTAAAATCTTGTTCTTTTTTGATGTTTATTTAAACTGCAGCTGATGTGAACACATAGTGAGGAATTGTAGCCACGTAATCCTGGGCTGGTTATGTAACTTCTCTGAGCCTCAGCTTGGTCATTTGTAGAAAGGGAAAAACAGTAACCCTCCTAGCTACTTAGCAGGGGTGCACTTTCAATGAGAAAGTAAATGGGTTGGGGAGTGGAGCTAAGATCTGTGGACAGGGCCCACTTTCACACTCACGCCTTTCCATGGATTCCTAGGGCTCTGGGACAGTGTCCCTGCTTTCTTCCAACTCTCTCCTGTGTTTCTGCCTTCTTCAGCTGTGCTCCTGCCAATAGCCTCACTTCCCTTTTTAATGTCTTTTCAGTGGATCCATCCTGCAAACTCCAGTCCTGGTTCAGCCCACAATTTGCTTTCTGGGCTTTTGTAAGTGAGTCAGTGAGAGCATCTAGAACAGGGCTGCTTTACCTTGGCTATGCATTATAATCCCCTGGGTTGCTTAAAAATCAAAACTGTAGACCAGGATGCAATTTGGACCAATTAATCACAGTCTCAGAAGTGGACACCTGGCACCAGTGTTTTTTCCCTTTATTTTGCTTATTAAATTATTTTAAACTTTTTTATGTTGAGATAATCATAGATATCCAAGCAGTTGTAGGAAATACAGATACACCAATATACTTTCTCCCCTTTTTTTCACCAATGGAAACATTTTGCAGGGCATTGACACTGATACAGTGGAGATACAGGACACTTCTATCACCACAAGTGATACTCTTGCCCTTTTATAGCAATACTCCTTTCCTCCTCCCCACCAGATCTCTGGCACCCAGGAATCTGTTCTCTGTTTCTGTAATTCTGTCATTTCAAGAACGTTATATAAATGGAATTACATAGTCTTGTAGACATTGGGGATTAACTTTTTTCACTCAGCATAATGCCCTGGAGATTTATTCATATTGTTCCATATATCAATGGTTCATTCCTTTTCACTGCTGAGTAGGGTTCCATGATATGGATGTTTAACCATTCATAAATGAAGAACATCTGGGTTGTTTCCAGCTTTTGGATATTCCAGATAAAGCTCCCCTGAGCATTTGTGTATAGGTTGTTTTTTTTTTTAATTGTATTTATTCATGAGAGACAGAGAGAGGCAGAGGCAGAGGGAGAAGCAGGCTCCTCAATCCCAGGACCCTGCGATCATGATCTGAGCCAAAGGCAGACGCTTAACTGACTGAGCTGCTCAGGTGCCCTGTGTATAGGTTTTGTGTAAATAAAATTGAACAGGAGTTTTCATTTCTGTGGGATAAATGCCCAAGAGTGTAATTGCCAGGTCGTAGAGTAGGTGCGTTTCAGTTTTATACGAAATTCCCAAACTGTTTTTCTGGAGTCATAGTACCATTGTATATTCCACCAGAGTTGTAGGAGTGATTTGGTTTCTCTGCATCTTCATGAGCATTTGCTTTTGTCACTATTTTTTTTTTAAGGCGTTCTGATAGGTATATAGTGATACCCTATTGCAATTTTAATTTTTATCTCCTTAATGGCTAATAATACTGAATATATATTAATGTGCCTATTTGCCATTTTTAAAAACCCCTTTAGTGAAATGTCTCTTTATAGATTTGTCAGTTTTCTAATTGGATGGTTTCTCATATTGTGGTGCTGAAGAATTCTTTATATATTCCAGATACTACTGCTTTGTCAGATACGTGGTTAGCAAATATTTTCTTCCCGTCTGTAGATCATCTCCCAGTCTGTAGACCCTTCTACAGGGTCTTCCACAAAGCAAAGATTTTAATTTTGATGAAGCCCAATTTCTCCATTTTCCTTTTTATGGATTTTGCTTCAGGCGTCAAGTCTAAGAACTCTTTGCCTAGCCTTAGATGCTGAAAATTTTTTCCTATTTCTCTAAAAGTTTTCTATTTTACATTTAACTTCATGATCCATTCTTAATTTTTGTATAAGGTTTAAGGTTTTGGTCAAGGTTCTTTTTCCTCTCCCAGGATGTCCATTTGTGCCAGCAACATCTGTTGAAAAAGCTGTCTTTCATTCATTGAGTTGCTTTTGTGCCTTTGTGAAAAATCAGCTGAGCATATTTGTATGGGTCTATTTCTGGGATCTCTCTTCTGTCAATCTATGCCTTTTCCCCTTCTCCAGTACCACACTGTCTTGATTACTGTAGCTCTTAATAGGGTTTATATTAAAAAGTGATTCCTCTCAACTTATTCTTTCTCAAGATTGCTTTAGCAGTTCTAACCCTGTACCTTTTCATGTAAATGTTAAAATAATATGTCTACAACACTTCCTGTGATTTTAATAGGAATTACATTAAGCCTATAGATCACTTGAGGGAGAACTGACTTTACTATGTTGAGTCTTTCAAATCACGAACACAATATATTTCTCTACTTATTTAGGTCTTGTTTGATTTCTTTCACCAGAATATTGCCATTTTTAGTGCACAGATCCTGTATATGTTTTGCTAAGTATATACATATCTAAGCATTGCATTTTCTTCACAGTGATTATAAATAGTGTTGTTTTTAATTTTAAATTCTACATGAAATATGATTGATTTCTGTATGTTGATCTTGTATCCTGGATTTTGCTGAATCTAGACCGGTATTTTATAAACTACCCCTGAAAATTTCAATGTGCAACCAAAATTGAGAACCACTGTTCTAGAAAAAGACCATTGGTGAGGTTTGGGTGCCCTTAAAAACTTGCGGTTTCCAATTTCAGTACCATTCTGCAATCCTTGTGTGCATGTTTCTTCTTTCCAGTGGCCACAATAGTCATTACAAACATTCCCTTTTTTCAGCCCTTCTGAATTTACCCTTTATCCTGCCCCTCCTTTTTTTCTGGTCTCCAAGGATCTTGCTTTCCACTCAGCACCACCTGATGTCAACACTAACATGAACCTTTCTATTCCTCTTTCCCTTAATATTGAGTTAGCTTACCTAATCTGTACCCATTCATTTCTATTCAGTGGTCAGAGTGAGAAGTATCCTTTTTCCCATTAGAAACAATACAATTTCTACCTATGATTTTCATCCTCACCACCTCACCATGGCCATCATGTGAACATTTGGCCTATTTCTTTCCTGTCTTTTTATACTACTCTATGTGTACTTAAATAATTGTAATATACCTATTATGAGTTTTATCCTGATTTTTTCACTTATCAGCATTGCTTCATATTATTAAAATTTCCTTTAAAATGTAATTGTAATGGCTATGTAGTAGCCTTTCCACAATTCTTATAAAAAGGTTGTTTCTTTCTTTTTTTTTTAATTTAAATAATGCTGGATT